ATGGAGTGTCATGAAACATTTGGATCTTTGCTGTTATGAAAGGTGAAAAATGATACTTTGGTGACATTTTTCACTTTTTGTGTGTTATGAACCACTTGTATTTAATTTTATGTGAACTCTTTATTCATAACTTTTGTCTATTTTTATTTATTTTAATTGGAGGGTAATTTCTTTCCAATGTTGTGTTGGTTTCTGTTGTACAACAGCGTGAATCAGCCATAAGTACACACGTATACCCTCCTTCCCCCCTTTCATGTTGTCGTAACGCGCCGAGCTGACCTGCCTGTGTTATGCAGCAAACTCCCATTAGGTGTCTGTTTTACATACGGTAATGTGTGTATTTCAGTGCTACTCTCTCAATTTGTCCCACCCTCTGTGTTTTAAAAAATTGAATTATTAGTCAGTTTATTGATTCCTAAGAGTTCTGTATTATTTTAGGAGAGATTAGCTCTTGGTGTGTGCAAAAATACTTTTCCTCAGTTATTTCTTTTCAATGCTTTTTCTTCCTTTCATGCAGATGTTGAATTTGTCAACCTTTATTTTTATGGCTTCTGAATTTTGAATCATGAATAGAAAGTTCTTTTTTACCTCAGGATTTTAAAGGGATTCACCCATGTTTTCTTCTAGTATTTCTTTGGTTTCTTTTAAAAAATGTAAGTCTTGATTGATGGAGCCATATTTCTTGGTGTGACAGGTGATTATAATTTTTTTCCCAGATGGCTACCCAGTTTTCTTAGTATTGCTTATTGATAAGTCTATTTTGTCTCTGCTTAAAAGAGAATGGTTTCTTTATCATCTACTGATGTTCAATATTTTGAATTTACTTCTTGATTTTCTGTTTTGTCTCATTGGGTTGTCCATTAACCTCTGCTACATTGCTTCAATTATTTTGAGGTTTTTAATATCTTTATTTTTAAAAATTTTATTTATTTTAATTGGAGGCTAATTACTTTACAATATTGTAGTGGTTTTTGCCATACATTGACATGACTCAGCCACGGGTGTACCTGTGTTCCCCATCCTGAATCCTGCTCCCACCTCCCTCCCCATCCCACCTCTCAGGGTCTGGGATCCCAGTGCACCAGCCCTGAGCACCCTGTCTCATGCATCGAACCTGGACTGGTGATCGGTTTCACATATGATAATATACATGTTTCAGTGCTATTCTCTCAGATCATCCCACCCTTGCCTTCTCCCACAGAGTCCAAAAGACTGTTCTATACATCTGTGTCTCTTTTGCTGTCTCGCATATAGGGTCATTGTTACCATCTTTCTAAATTCCATATATATGCGTTAATTTACTGTATTGGTGTTTTTCTTTCTGACTTACTTCACTCTGTATAATAGGCTCCACTTTCATCCACCTCATTAGAACTGATTCAAATGTATTCTTTTTAATGGCTGAGTAATATTTAGTTGTGTATATGTACCACAGCTTTAATATCTTGTAGGGCTGGTATTTCTTTATATTCTTTTCCAGAGTTTTCCTGGACATTCTTGTTTATTTCTCTGTATTGACTTAAGGATCAGCTTCTCTGGTTAAACACAAAAACAAAAACCTGTTGATATTTTCACTGAGATCACATTAATAGAATTTGGTATTTTAGTAATATTAAGGAGGAGTGGGTTGCAGTTTTGGATGCGATGTCCAGGGGAGGCTTTACTGACAACGTGATAGGGTAAAGATCGAAAGAATGTTAGAGAATGAGCCGTGAGGATATTTGGATATAATCATTTCAGACAGAGGGAACAATGAATACATAAGTCCTGAGGTAGAAGAATACCTATGTGTTCAGGGAACAGTGAGGAGACCAGAGCATTAAGTGAGGGGGAAAACATGACGTTACAGGCCATTTTAAGGACTTTATTTTTGAATGAGAAATCATTGGAGAGTTGGAGCATAGAAATGGTATCTGATTTCTGTTTTTAACAGGGCCACTCTGGCTACCATGTTTAGAGTGGACATAGTGGGGGACAAGGGTGGAAACAGGGAAACTAGTCGTGGAACATATCAGTCCAGGTGAGAGAGGATGGCAGCTGAAACAAGAGTGATAGTTATGGAGGTGGTAGAAGTGGTTGGAATATGAATGTGGCTTGTAGGTAGAACTAACATTTACTGATGGATCTGGATATGAGGTGTGAGTGAGAGGTGTAAAGATTATCTCCAAGATGCCTGAATAAGAATGAGTGGCCATTCCCCACTGAGATGGGGAAGACTGTGAAGTTCAGGGGAGAATATATATCAGTGTCCTTGTTTTAAACTTGCTTGAGATGTTTATTGGACATTCAGGAAGATGTGTTGAAGCAGTTGGATGAGAATCAGAGTTTTAAGGGAGACGTATGAGCTGGGGATGTAAATTTTGGGAGTCATAGTTGTTATTTAAAACCGTGAGATTAGATAAGATCACCAAGAGAGTGATATGAACAGGGAGGAGAGTCCTGGTACACTCTAACAGTGAGATGAGGGAGAGAAGGAGAAATCGGTACAGACAGCAAAGGAGTGGTCAAAGAAATGGAATAGAAAGAAGTGGAAAACCAGGAATGTTCTGGAAGCCAAATGAGGAAAATATTTCAAGAAGGAGAATGTATTTAACGGTGCTAGTAGTCGAGTATTTGTAAAATTTATTCCTGACTATGCTATGTCTTTTTTTGCTATGGGAAACAAGCTCTTTCTTCATAGCTTATAACTATTGCTTGTATATGTGGAAGCTATGAATTTATTTATATTAATTTTGTACCAATACTGAATTCTTGTTTAGTCATTTTTAATTGATTATCTTAGATTTTTCAGATATCCAATCATTGCATCTGCAAATTTATTTCATCTTTTCCAGTTTTTTTTAATCTCTAGTTCTTTCTTATCTAATTATGTTGTTTAGTACCAATTGTACTTTCCTTTTGTCTATTGTATTGACTAGTACCTCTAGAATGAAAAGTTAGATAATAATTTTCTTGTCTATGTTCTGACTTGAGTGGGAATATTTTTAGGATTTTCCTCTCTAAGCCGCTAAGTCACAGCTTTTGGGTTGAGGTAGTAGAGAGAGAGAGAGAGAGAGAGTGAGTGAGTGTGTGTGTGTGTGTGTGTGTGTGTGTGTATTTGTAGGACATAGTCTTTCTTAAAATGCTTGAGTTTTATCAAAAGTTTTTTCAACATCATTGGGGATGATTATATTATTTGTCTCCTTAGGTCTAGTAATGAAGTTTTTATACTAATAAGTTCCTAATGTTGAACCATGGTTGCATTTCTAGAATAAATACAGAAAATACTTAATAAATATAGTCACTTGATAAAGGTAATGGGAAGAGTTGTTGCTGCTTCTGCTATTTTTCTTTTCCTAATATTGGTCAGATTTTATCATTTGTGTTAAGGATGCTGTTGTCATGGTTGTGTTCCCTGAGACCAAAGATAAGTGCACATGAAAATTAGAAAGTCAAAACTCAGAGAGGAAATTTTCCGTCATTAGGACATTTCCCCCCTCCCCACACAAATAGAGGATTTATCCTTTGTATTTTCTTGTGCCTCCCAAAATGCATCTGAATACTAGACACAGGGTTTTCTTCCTCAGTTTGACTATTTGCAGTCAGCAACTAGGTTTAATTTTTACTCTTGATTTCAGATCATGTACTTCTAAGCTTTTTAAATAGTCACTTGTGATTTACCCAGAAGTAACAATAATTATATAATTTGTTACCTATTAAGGTAGTAGGATTTTCTAGTTTTTATTTTGTATCAGCCTGACTTATTGAATCTGAAGAATAGCTAGTAGAATCTGATAGATTATAAGCTATATTTTCTGACCTTGCTCAGTGTGTTATTTAGGACTATTGACTTTCTTCTTCAAAATGAAACACAAGTATTTTTTTCATTCTTGATATTAACTGCATCCTTTCTATTCCTTTGCAGATATAGTGACCTCTGCTGTTCTTGACCAATCCAGGCATGCCCCTCTCAGGACTTCTGTTCTCTTTGCCTATAATGCTCTCTAGTCAACATATTCTTTTTCAGTCTTTGCTCAAATGTTACCTCAAGCTTCCACTGATGCTTCTACTTAAAATTGTAACCCCACCTCTGTGTTTGTGACACTTTTTTCTTGATCCGTTTTTTATAACACTTCCCAGGTGGTGCTAGTGGTAAAGAACCTGCTTGTCAATGCAGGAGACATAAGAGACGTGGATTCGATCCCTAGTCGGGAAGATCCCCAGGAGGAGGGCATGGCAACCCACTCCAATATTCTTGCCTGGAGAATCCCATGGACAGAGGAACCTGGCAGGCTACAGCCCATAGGGTCGTAGAGAGTCAGATGCGACTGAAGCGACTTAGCTTGCATGCAGACCACTTTTTAATAGTCTGTGGAGTTTATGGTTTTATTGGCTTTGTTTCTCCTATCCTTAGTAAAATGTAAACTCTTCAAAGACAGGAATTTTTTTCTTGTTCTAAAAAAAATTATATATTTTCCTTTTTAAAAAACTAATAAATCTCCAGTGCTTAAAGCAATACCTGATACATAGGAACTCAGCAGATATTTGCTGAATGAATGAATAAACTATCCTAAAGAGATTTTATTTATAAAGAACTCCCTGGTGGTTCAGTACTTAAGAATTTGCCTTCCAATGCAGGGGATGTGGGTTCTATCCCTGGTCAGGGAACTGAGATCCCACATGCTGTGGAGCAGCTAAGCCCACACATCACAACTAGAGAGCCCACATGTCACAACTGTTGAAACCCACATGCTCTGGAGCCTGCACACCACAACTGCTAAGCCTGGGAGCCACAACAGGAGAATTCCTGCACCACAACAAAGGATCCTGCATGACACAATAAAGATCCTGCATGCCACAGCTAAGGCCCAAGGCAACCAAATAAATAAGTAAATAAATAAATATTAAAAAAAAAAGAACTCCCATTTAGGGTCAGAATAATCCCATGGGATGTGCAAAGAAATGTAAATAATCCTTTAACTTCTTAATTTGCTTAATTTAGACTATTTTTCTCCCTCCAGATTCATCGAAGCAAGGACAAATGGAAATTCTATCTGAAAGATGGTGTTATGTGTTTTGGAGGGAGAGACTATGTATTTGCAAAAGCAATTGGTGATGCAGAGTGGTAACACTTACGAGCTCAGTACATCATAAACATCAGAGGGACTGTATCACATATTGTTCACTGTATGGAATTTAATAAAATTATAATTCAGATGCAGATACAAATATACAATGTTACATTTCTTTAATTTCATATTTTACACTGTTTAACAGGTTTTTATTTTTTAACCCTCATTGTCTGTACCATTACAAAGCACAGATGTATTAGGTGTGATGTAGCATGAAGAAATTTCATATTTCTTTAATTCTAAAGTAAAATTTAAATCAGACTCCAGTTCTCCATCATGGCAAAGTCAGTATCAGTTATGAGACTGGGGCTGGTGTTCCTCCCACCGCTCAGCAAACCATGTTACAAAAGATCCTGGAGAGTCTTGTGAGTACCTAGATATTCAGGAAGGCATCTCTAGGTGAAACTAGTCTACATTTATCACTAACAGTATGCTGATTATGCAAGCCCAGATGGCTCCTTGGAGACAGATGCCTCAGTTGAGCCTACACTAGAACATGAAAATCTTTGTGGATGCCAGGATCCCTAGAGCCAAGGATTAGCCTCTGGGTTTATCTTGTGGCCAGACCATTCTTCTTTGTACCTGATACTTCCCTTGGGAATTATAGGGAGTGGGTTAGGTTCCCATTTTAATTCTTAGGACTTCATATTTATGTCTTCTTCCCTCATATCTAATTTTTTTCTCCTTTTCTTAAAGTGGAAGACTCCTTTGCAAAGTCTTATAACATCAAACATACTGTCTCTCTTCATTTTTCCTAACGGGGAATTCCCTTATTGAGTTTAGGCTTTCTAAATCAAAAGTCAAGAAGAGAAGTTCTCTTCAGGAACCTTCTATTTTGGTGAGACAATCTCATTTGAAAACAGAAGACCTGGATAATTCTTAAAATCAGAAAGCAGGAACAAAATAGCTCTCATTTTCTTAACACCAATGAAAACAGAGCAAATTAATATTTCAGTAAACTATTCTGTAATATTCGCTTCCTTAGTAATAGGTTCAAATTCCTTAAAGGAAACTTTTGCCCATCATACTGCTTCTTCTAGTGGATGGAGTGTGTGTATGTGTGTGTGTGTGTGTGCGCGCGTGTTAGCCACTCAGTCATGTCTGACTCTTTGCAATCCTATGGACTGCCATAGGTTTGGACATAGAAGACTGCCAGGCTCCTCTGTCCATGGAATTCTCCAGGCAAGAATACTGGAGTGGGTAGCCATTCTTTCTCCAGATGATCTTCCTGACTCAGGGATTGAGCCCAGGCCTCCTGCACTGCAGGCAGATTCTTTACTGTCTGAGCCACCGGAGAAACATGGTCTCTAAGTCTAGGATCTACTTTTGGCCTTGAATAGCGTTCTCCCCTATGGCTTCCCTGGTGGCTCAGCTGGTAAAGAATCCGCCTGCAGTGAGGGAGACCTGGGTTGGGAAGATCCCCTGGAGAAGGGAAAGGCTACCCACTCCAGTATTCTGGCCGGGAGATTTCCATGGGCTGTATAGTCCGTGGGGTTGCAAAGAGTTGGACACGACTGAGCGACTTTCACTGACTCACTAGTATTCTCCAGGACAGTAATTCTTTCGCAAAAAGAAGTTCTGAGGTGGAATGGGTGAAGAGCTCCTAGAGGATCAGATTTCTGTATCTGGCTGGTCACAGCGTGGGTTCCCCATCTCTTTTTCAGAGGCATCCCTACGTAATTTATTCCAGCGCTTGTTCTCTCCTGCCCAAGTGACTCAGCTACTGTTAGGTCTTTTGAGATATTTGGATAAATCTCATCTGGACCGTGGGCGACACGAGTGGGGCACTGTCTTTGGCCTCAAGTTGGCAGCTGCATGAGGATTCAGTTAGTTGGGTGGCTGGTGCCTTCTTCGTCCTCAGGCTCGCTGTCCTTTTCACCACCACCTCTGCTATTTCACATCCTGCTCTGGCTCCCGAGAACTTCCAGGAGCTATGGGTTCCCTTCACGGATGTTTCCTACCAGGAAATGTTCATCTTTTCCCTTCATGGATGTTAGCCAACAGGAAATGTTCATCTTTTCTACATGGAAGGCAAAAACAGGGCATTTATTCTCTGTGTCATTTCTGAAATGTGCTCCCCCACCCCACCCAGTGTTGAGGAGGACACTTTCTAGACTTCAGGTGCTTTCAGCCACTCTGTATTAAGTGCTGAATTTATCAACAAGGTGTGTTCACTTGGAAATGGGGCTTTATTGTGTTGGTTTAAGTGTTTGGGACAGGTGATAATAGTTGTTTCTGAAATTCCTTTCCTCTTTTCTGTGGTGAATTTTAAATTCTCACCTTGCTTCAGTGATTTTTTTTTTAAGCTATATTACAAATACCACTATGTTGTCCTCTTTATTTATGGGGTACATTTTATCAGAGAAAAAAGTCATTGTCTCATTTGTGTCTTTGCATGCCCTCATGCCTCTGATTCTTTTAAAATGTAAAAACATCCATTTAAAATAGACTTACCACAAAACAAGCTCCATAATGATTTCCTTTGCACGATAGTATAAATGATGATAGTTTGGGTGTGAATGCACAGAGAACCAAGAGTCCCCAAATTATTGTGGACCTAGATGCCCTTTTATTAGTCTCAAATAGTACTAGAAAAGAATCCTGAGTCTTGAAAAGTTGTGTAAATTAATGGTTTAAAAGTTATTTTGGCCAGTGCCATACTAAGAAATGGGCTCCCCTGGTGGTTCAGATGGTAAAGAATCCACCAGCAATGCAGGAGACTGGGTGTGATCCCTGGGTTGGGAAGATCCTCTGGAGGAGAGCATGGCAACCCACTCCAGTATTCCTGCCCGGAGAATCCCATGGACAGAGGATCCTGGTGGGCTGCAGTCCATGGGGTTGCAAGGAGTTGGACATGACTTTGAGTGACTAAGCACACGCTAAGAAGTAAATTTGAACAACCAGTGTGTGTTTGCATGTACATAGATACATATAGTACAAATAAAAGAAAAGTATCAGAAAATCATATTTACTTTTAACATGATAGCCTCCTGTATTTGATTCTATTCTGTTCATTAGAAAAAATTTTTGATGGTATTGGCCCTATAAGTCGGTTTCACTACCTACTGATAGGTCATATTAAAAAAATTTTTTTAACCCATGTGTTAAAGATAAGATGAAACAAATATTAATCTATTTTGAAAAAGAAAATTATTAAGTCCTGTAAGTTGTGAGTGTATCTGAGACTTGGCTTTAATATGGTATTACTTTTAGGAACCTCTTTATCATGTCTAAGTTTAACATTTCTTGTTGCATATTTTAACAAAGTGTCATAAAGTGAGTTATATGTTCTTGTAAATACAATACCCTGGCAAATACCATCCTGGTGGTATGGTAAAGAATCAGCCGATTCTTTACCAGCTGAGCCACCAGGGAAGCTGTAGGGGAGAACACTATTCAGGGCCAAAAGTAGGTGGTGAATGTGTCCGTAGTAAAGAGGTCACAGTTTACTGTGGTATGTGAAATTCATGTATCATGTATAGTAATTCCTAACCCAGACTTTTTCTCATGTATGCATCTCATAGGGCTTTTTTTTTTTTTCCAACATACTTTTCACCTCTCCCTGTCGACTGCAAAGAGCTTGAGTTTGCATAGTTAGTTTCTTAGGGACTGACCAGCTGACCTTGCCTGGATTACCTTCTTTACCTGTTTCATTCAATGTGCTATAATATGTGTAAAAAAACCCATCTGTATAGCTCAGACTTCATAGAGCAATGAGACACCAGTTCTGGCTGAGGAACTCAGTTGAAGTCATTTAAGTTGTGTAGCAAAACTAGTAACTTTGGAATGAATAGCAGTGGTTAAATGGGTGGGGAGAAGAGGAATTTAATGGGGGAATTTATTTAGACTTTTTTTAGTAGGTTGGTACAGTGCTGTTTGTTTGTAAATATACTTTGAGCTAGTTGGGAATTTTATAATTTGTAACTAGACAGCTAAATTATAAATAGGAAGCTCATGGTAATAACTCTTAGGAAGTAACTTGATATTAATAAAAATATTGTACATTAGGAAAAGATTTTTTCCAGTTGTGAACATGTTTATTGAAATCTTTGTGGCATGAAGATTCTTAATTTGTATGTGAACTTAATACATTTTTTGTATTTTTGAAAAAACTAGAAACATTTTTGAAAAAACTAAAACCAGGCCCTTTATCGCAAATGTTATGACTTGGACAAAATGCCTTTTAAAAATATTTTGTAAGTTTAGATGAATTACTCCAAATTGATTAAATCTTTTTAGTCATTCTGCAGCATACATCAAACATGGTAATAAAAAAACAAAAATGCAAGATATAAATTTCTTGAGCATTCGATGTTTTATGTATGAGAAATTATGTAGATTAGGAACATACATTTTCTATGAGACCATCTCATAAGGAAAATGCCCCTTAACAAGGATTGTTTTATATTTCAGTTATAAAAGTGAATCGGTTAAAAATATTAATTGCCTTACATATAAGACTAGGATAGATACAGTGGGAAAAACAAAGAAGTAAGTGAGAAATTGCTAAAGGAATTTATAATGTGTGTGAAATAAGAGATATACATGTAAGATAATGTCATCAGTGTAGAACAAAAAAGAAGTGATACAGATGATAGGTGCTAAAGAAGTTTAAAGAGATAAACCATTGTGGATTACATATTTATTATCTATGCCCTGCTCTATTTGAAGTAAAGACAGTGTCTTGACTTTAGTGGATTGGGGAGGGAATTTTGAATTTTTGGTAGGTATATAATAAGATGAGATAGGATTTTAGGAAGGTTAATCAGTGGTGGAAGAACTTTTCTTTGGAAGGAAAGTTATGACCAACCTAGACAGCATGTTAAAAGGCAGAGACATTACTTTGCCAACAAAGGTCCATCTAGTCAAAGCTATGGTTTTTTCAGTAGTCATGTGTGGATGTGAGAGTTGGACTATAAAGAAAGCTGAGGCCCGAAGAATTGATGCTTTTGAACTGTGGTGTTGGAGAAGACTCTTGAGAGGCCCTTGGACAGCAAGGAGATCCAACCTGTCCTTCCTGAAGGAGATCAGTCCTGAATATTCATTGGAAGGACTGATGCTGAAGCTGAAACTCCAATACTGTGGCCACTTGATGAGAACGGACTCACTGGAAAGACCCTGATGCTGAGAAAGACTGAAGGCAGGAGGAGAAGGGGACAACAGGGGATGAGATGGTTGGATGGCATCACTGACTCAGTGAACATGAGTTTGAGTAAACTCCAGGAGTTGGTGATAGACAGGGAAGCCTGTCCATGGGGTTGCAAAGAGTTGGACACAACTGAGCGACTGAACTGAGGTAAACTGAATCAGTGGTGCTGGGTATGAGGGTATGGCCATAGGAAAGGTTAGATATGAATAAAAATGAAGGAGGCGTAGAAATACTCGAGAGGTAAGGGGAAATGGTCTGAGATGTGGGAATAGTGATAGGAATGCAAAATAAAGAACTGATGTGGAAGACAATTTGAAGGGAATAATGAATGAAAAGATGTGAGGATGAGGAAGATAGTACACTATGATTCTGTATGTTAAAACTTAAATTATAATGTAGAAAGTAAAGATCAGTATTTGTGGGAAAGACTGTAAAAGTTGTTTTCAGAGTATAGATACAAGTATGTTAGGCTAAAACAATTTATAATTTAAAGGTATAATTTATAATTTAAAGTTTATAAGGATTCATTTTTTCTTTTGTTTACTTTCTGCTGTTTTGCTTGCTTAGTTGTTTTGGTTCTGTGATTTATTATCAATCAGAAAGTTTATTGTGTGTGTGTGTGTATAGCAACATGACTAATTAGCATTCTCTCATCATTGAGACAAATTCTAGAACACTTGCTTACAAGAGAGAGAACAGCATCTGAATAAAGACAAGTAACTAGTTGTGGAGTAGAAAAGTCAGAAATACGAAAAACACATTATAGAAAAGAGATATTTTATAAAGTTTATACTTTTTTATAATCTACTTTGAAATACTTTGCAAAATGGCATAATGATTGGAAACGACTAAATGTGTGGAGAGTCTAGTTGTGACTTTACATTTATTTAACAAATGCCAAAGAAGAGCTAGAAACTGAAAATAACCCAGATATCCATTGATAAGAAAATAGAAAACAGTGTTATAGTCATACAGTTGAATACTATTCAGCAATGAAAAGGAATGAACTATTGATTGAAGCAGCAGCAGCAGCGATGAATAGCAAAAACATTGTGTTGAGTCAAAGAGCTTTATACCGAAGAATATTAACTGTATGATTCTATTTATATGAAATTCTGGAGCAGACAAAAACTCATCTCTTAGGAGAAAAATCATAACCATTATTATCCTGGGCTTCCCAGATGGTGCTAGTGGTAAAGAACCCTCCTGTTGATGCAGGAGACACAAGATCCCCTGGAGGAGGGCGTGGTAACCCACTCCAGTATTCTTGCCTGGAGAAGCTCACGGACAGAAGAGCCTGGAGGGCTCCAGTCCGTGGGGTTGCAAAGAGTTGGACATGTTAAAACAGCTTAGCATGTATGCATTATTACTCTTGTAGGGCAGAGGTGAGGGATTAATTAGGATGTGACATGAGAAAACTTTCTGAGGGTGAGTGTTCTGTATCTTCATGAAGGTTTGGGTTACATGGGTGTATACATTTCTCAAAATGCATTAAATGGTATGCTTAGGGTTTGTCTATTTCATCATATTTAAATTGTACCTTAAATATGTAAACAAATATTAAACTTCAGTTAATGATAAGCATGCTGAAGAGTTTAAGGGCTGACAAATACTGATGTTTGTAACTTAAATTGCATCAGAAATGATGGATGGATAAATACTGGATAGATATTAATAATTATATAGAACTATTTTTCTTATCATATATTTTCTAAATCAATATAGTAAAATGTTGAGTCTCAGTATATGGGTGTGCACTGTACAATTATTTCAAATTTTCATATATTTGAAAATGTCACAATAAAATGTTGGATGAAATTAAAAGAACTTTGAACACATATTAAACTTTTGGATGGCTGTGATTTACCAATATGGGAGGTAGTAAAACAGTGTTAAAAGGCTGGGGTCCTGAATCAGAACTTTGAGTTTGAATCTTATTAGTTGAAGCTTTTATTAGTTTCGAGAACTTGGGCAAATTGTACTGAGCTTTCCTCTCTTCTAAAATGTGAATAATATCTTCATCATAGAGTTTTATGAAGATTCAGTGGGTTGAATTATATAAAATACTTATCAAGATGCTTGGCATATAATAAACTTTTAATAAGTTACTTTATAGTGTCAAAGGAACTTACAAAAACATTGCAATTAAAGCCATAATTTTACTGTCCTATAAGAGTCAATTCTGATAAATACCTTCTAGCAAATATTGGATATATTTTCAATACTTTCAGATAGAAACTATGAAAGTAAAATATTTTAAAATATTTAAGCATTTTATTTTACTTCCATAAAAGATAGGGCCCTAGAAAGAAAAAGAAGATATTTTTTTTTCCTTGTAGATTTCTTAACTTCAGTGTCATTCAGCACATTTGTTGCATGCTATTGCTGAGACCCTGAGCTAGGAGATAAGGAAGCAAAATTGAGACAGGGTTCCTACCCACAAGGAGTTTATAGTCTACTATTTAATGCTTCACTGTTCTTTAGAGACTAAACACCAGACCAACAGGATGAAATGTGCCTTTAGATACTTACTTTATATTAATTTTAAATAGTATAATTTAAAATTTTAATAATTATTAAATCCAGAATCTACATATGGGATAAATAAATGTCTAGGACAGCACTGTCCAATAGAACTTTCTGTGATGATCAAACTGTTCTGTATATGTGTTGTTCAATATAGTAACCACAGGTTATGTATGGGTGTTGAGCACTTGAAATGTTCCTAGTGCAATTGAGAAGACACATTTTTAATTCAGCTTAATTTAGCTACATGTGTCTGGTAGGTACCAGATTGGACAGTGCATCTCCAGAGTCTATACTTCTCAAACAGTCTGAGGAAAAAGACTAGTTATTTCAAATTTCAAATCTCTTATGGACCAATATTTTTGTAAAAATGCAATAAAAATTACTGCAAGGATGAAATGAGAAAAAAATTACAGTCATACAAAACACCATCTCATTTTTGAAATAGATACAGCAGACATAAAATTAATCTGTCAAAATTGCTGTAAAAGTTTCTAAACACTCTGTATTGTTATCATGTGCCAGTGACAAATAGTTTTTAGACCGGCCGTGGTCATGGATCACATTTTGAGCTAGGTAGAGTCTTTTTTTTTCCTGATGTGCCTAACACATAATTTCCTGAACCAACTCTTTGTTAATATTACTGGTAGAGATAAATTTTTTACATATTTAAGTATAATTCGGTGATGTGTTTACTGATATCACAGTTAACACTCCTTACAGCAAGCCTTGTCCAGGACAGCAGAATATTGACATTGTAATGTGGTCAACTTCAAGGTAGACCGGGAAGGCTTATTTGATCCAGTGAAGCCATTTTTGCAGTTGGAGATATAAGCTGAAAAATCCTTCCTCCTATAAAGTTCAGCTCGATACTTACAGCAGCCAAATTTGCTCAGCAACAGAAAGAAATCCCTTCGGAATGCCTTCGTGAAAATTGCATATAGAAACGGATTGGCGCATGAATTGACAGGATAAAAGAGAACCAGTAGAACCTTTGAGTTGGTTACTGTAATGAGGGGCACTTTGAAGGCAGCTGAGATGGCAAAGAAAGAGATTGGTGCCATGCAGGTGAAATCGGTGAAGATGAGGACCGCCATTTTCTTAGCAATCTTTGTATCTCTGTTGGCAGCCATCAGCTCTGGATTTTGAACTGCGAAATAAATTTTAATGTAGCAAGCACAAATGATGATGAAGGCCAGCACATTGAGAATCAGGATGGTTAAGATGTAGACCTGGGAGAGGGTGGTTTCCACATCCATGGGGAGGCAAATGCTGACCTTCATGTAACTGCTGACACCCACAAGAGGCAGCGTGGCAATGAGAGAAGCAAAGAGCCATCCTCCGAGCATGAGTGGAATGGCATGTTTCAGTCGCAGCTTTTGGTCCAGTTGAATAGCATAGGTGATGGTGTGCCATCTTTCTAGTGTGATGACTGTGAGGGTGTAGACAGAGAGTTCACTTGCAAAAACAGTAAAAAAGCCGGCCGCGCTGCACCCGCTCCCTGTCTGCCACTCTATGGCGTGGTTATAGTACTGGCCTTTGGTTTGGGCATCGACTGAGGCAATGAGGAGCAGGTAGAGCCCCATGCACAAGTCTGCAAAGGAGAGGTTGCACATGAGAAAGCGGGGCACTGTGAGTTTATAGCGACTAGTCAGGAGGACAAAGAGGACAGTCACATTCCCCACGATGGCCAGGATATTAATCAGCCAAATCAGGACTCTAAGGAAGTCATAGCCCATAATGTCTTCACAGGGATTGAAAGCGTCTGGTTCAGGAGCACACTGGAGTGTCTTGGGTAAGCAGAAACCATAGTCATAATCCCAGCCACTCAGTTCACTCTCAGCAAAGACGGCGGAATAACTGTAAGAAGAATATTGCGACTCAGTGTAAACTTAAGAGGCTTTCTATGATTCTGGCTATTGAAAAAAATTTAGAAATCGTCCCTGGTGGTTTTTTGTTTTCTTTTTTTAAGGAGAGCAAACTAAAGGAAACAAAGTCAAAACAGCCTTAATCTTATATTTATTTGTTATCTGAGAACTCCGAAATGGTGTAGGAGTTCTTTAAGAAGGGAGTGAAAAGCCATTTAGATTTTTTTTTAATATGCAGATTTTACACAGTGATGCAAGGATTTAATGAAGCTGTTTACAGAGCATTCTTTTCTTTGGAAAACAAATTTAGAGACATAATCTATGCTTGCTCAATCTAAAAAAACTTTCTTGACATTTTCTTAGCTATTTATCTCCTTTAGTTGCTAACCAAACTGCTATCAAGCTGTTTGCAATAGAACACAAATGGGATTGAAAGGCTCACAGTGTTGAAGATTATCAGCTTTAGGAGGACATGCTGAAGTCCTTAGCTAATCAAGCAGCCAAGTTGAGAGATGGAACCAAGGTTAGGTTATTCAGTAGAAATTTAGGAACAAAGGAAGAATAGAGTCATGAACAATAGAAAGAAATAGTTGAAAATAGACAATTCTTATCTTAGGATATGAGTCAAATTCAGAGAGTGGACTGGCTGGAGAGGGACTGCGTCCCTAGTGAAGGAACAGTCCCACTCTGACACTCCCTTTCTCCCAACAGCACTGCTACTGCTTGAGTTCAGGTTTTCATTCTTTCTAATGGGACAGTGACATTAGTTTCCTTCTTGGCATCCTTTCCCCAATTTTAGCCCTCTCCTAGTCGATCTGTATATTCCTACTGGAATGGCCTGTCTTATGCACAATATGTTAATTCAAACATTACTTAGTTTCTCATTGGCTATGGGATAAACTCCAGATTCCTTGTGAGGACCTCTAAGTCTCTCCTTGATCTGCATTCTGTCTCCTTTTCTAACCTCATCTCTAAGAAGCTGTGTGTGCACATGCATGTGCATACCCAGTCGTGTCTGACACTTTGCCACCCCATAGACTGTAGCCCACCAGGCTCCTCTGTCCATGGAATTTTCCAGGCAAGAATACTGGAGTGGGTTGCCATTTCCTATTCCAGGGGATTTTCTTAAACCAGGGGTCAAACCTGCATCTTTTCTGCCTTCTGCATTGGCAGACCTGTTCTTTACCTGTAGCTTGCCTGGGAAGCCCTGAAGAAGCAGTAGTACTGTACAGTTCAGAACAGGCTCTGGAGCTAGACTGCCCGGGTTCCAGCCTTTACACAGCTTTTACCAGCTGCGTAAACTGGTTCCAGCTTTTACCAGCTGGGAGAGTTATTTAACATCTCTGTTCTTCAGTTCTTCATTTGCCAAATAAGGACAGTAATCACACCCCCCTCACTGGATTGTGCTAAAGGATTAAATGCATTAAAACATGTAAAAACTTCAGGATAATGCCTGATACCTAGTAAGTACTCAGTGACTGTTTTTTTTTTTTTTCAGTGACTATTAAAGATCCTTATAATTATCTCTTGCAAATACTTTGTGCAACCCTTTGGTCACATGAAAAGACTTGTGGCTCTCAGAACAGGTTTTACTGTTTTTTCTCTTTGTCTTTGAATGTGTTGTTTTTTCTTCCCCCTTCTCCCTCATTTCTCTGGAGAATTCCTCCTCATCTTTAAAGATAATTGTCTCTATGAAGCCTTTCTTGATTCTACACCTCTAAGGAGTTTATCACCCCTCCTCTCAGCTGCATTTACCATTGTAATTCTCAAACTAACATGGCCATTATGTGATGAAAACTTCTCATTTTCTGTAGAAGGGAGTGTGTACCTAATACAGTTACTGGATAAAATGATATATTTGAGCAACACAACTACCTAAGGGAAAGAACATAGATTTCCAAAAATGGGAAAAGAAATCTATGATGTGGGACACCAAAAAAGGTGCTAGCATGTCACAGAAACCAAACTGAAACTGGAAAAGTACTACTGCCTCTCACAGGAGACTGCATAGGAAACTCACTTGTTTTATTATTAAATATACCTAGCATATTTGTTTGTCCTCGTCCCATGCACATCAGTATAATTATCTAATTTTTCAATCTTTAAAGAGGTAATGGTGGTTATCAGAACGATGAAGGACCTGGGAAAAACCCTTCATTTTACTGATAAGGAGACCGAGATTAAAGGAGGTGAGGCCATGCCCCAGGTCCCTCAGCACTGGGCACCAGTGGCAACATGAGGTCTTCATATGCATAGTCCAGGGGACTTTCTCCTACTTCACCATCTCTCAGGGTTTTTCAAGGTGTGGACCTTGGACCACTTCCATCAGAATCACTAGAGTGTTCATTACAATGCAGATTCTTGGCTTCACTTCAGACCCTGAATCAAACTCTCTAGGGACAGAGCCCAGGAATCTGCATTTTAAGCAAGTTCTCCAGATGATTCCTACAAAATAACAACCTTTATTACATCACATGAGAACTTTCCAACTATTGTTGCCTTAGTTTCCTTTACTACGTTCCCCTTATCAAAATAGCTCCCGCTGCTACTAGAAGCACTAATTTAAAGACATTAAAAATTCTGCCATGGTTTCTAAATAAACTTAAATCACTAAGAGATCAAATAGGTTTCCTTTCCCACTCCCCTGGTCCTTTTCTCTTTCTTTTTTTGCCCTACTGGGCATACGTCTAGGTTTTTCTCCCTGGTGATTTGTCTTTGGAAAGAATACCTATCTGTTGCTACTTACGTTTGTGCCCCAGGATGGCTCCTGAGGGCATCAACATGCTTATTGACAAAACCCTGCATGGAGCTGTCTTTAGTACTGAAGGCTGTGCAGAGAGTGTGAATGGACTTGGATGGGCTTAGCAATATTGAGTCAGAGGAAGGAGAAACAGTAGCACCACTGCTTCAGCAACAATCAACAGACAGGAAAAAAGACAGGGATTTCAGGAGGACAGTGGGGCCAACCATAGTGGTAAGGACACCAAAATACCTTAGGGAGAGCAGATAAGGCTAGGCTCTAGCAGATAAGGCTGGCTCTAGAATTTCTGAACTTCAGGGGCTCAGGGATAGCAATCTGGTGGGAAGGGAAGGAAGGGGATTTATCACAAGAAATGTTTTCACACAGAGCACACTCTTTTTACTTAGATTATGTGTTAATTTTAGGTAGTTCTGGGGGATGCTGAAGACTAGAGGACTTGTATTAAAACAGTGTTAAAATAGCAGACTCAAGATTGGATGCGTGGAGTGGTAGGGGCTGATGGTTATTGAGACTGAGCTAAAGTCTCCCCTCCCCTCCAAAACACCCTTTGATGGTACCACTGACTATACCCAAAAGTGGTTTCCTACTGATGAAAAAAACCCACATGATTGCCAAAGTGTTATGTGGAAGGTGATAATGGAGAGAGTATTGAGAGAGAAGAGTGGGAAGGGTGAGGAAAGGGAATGCTGGAGGATAGATGGTGTCAGACCTAAATGAAAGGAGAAAGTAAAGAAGAATACAGACTATAATATAAGGTACCCTGGATACTGTCACAGTCTTTAAAAACTCCCTTTACTCTCATGCTTCTGAAAGCCAAATGATGTTTCTATTGTCCCTTACAGTTGAGGAAAAAAGTCTCAGAAAAGATAAGTATTGTCAAGGGAAACCTAATGTTACAGGAACATTAGTGCCAAGAATTCATATCCAAGTCTGAGGAGCTCCAGAGCCCAGAGTCCTTCCATCATACCACTCTGTGCCTCTATATATCTTGCAGATTGATAGGAAAAAAAGAGAAAAGAAAAAAAGATACAGAAGAGAGAATGGAGAGTGGCAGGGTACTTTAGAAGGGCGTCTGGTTTGGTTTTGTAGCCTGAGGAACATGGAGGAGGGGCTGGGAGTGGAAGGGAAGTAGTAACACTTGTAAATCACAGTAAATGTGGCATCAGAACACTTTTGAGGCGTGCAGCTTTACAGTTGTGCCAAGTGTCATGCCTTTGGGTTAAATTTTCCCCCCGAAGAACCAGCATATTAAGTTATAATTTATGGCCTTTTCTATTTTAATGTACCTTGACTTACTGAGCCTCATTCTAGTATCAGCGGGCTTCCCGGTGGCTCAGAGGGTAAAGCGTCTGCCTGCAATGCGGGAGACCTGGGTTCGATCCCTGGGTTGGGAAGATCCCCTGGAGAAGGAAATGGCAACCCACTCCAGTACTCTTGCCTGGAAAATTCCACAGATGGAGGAGCCTGATAGGCTACAGTCCATGAGGTCGCAAAGAGTCAGACATGACCGAACAACTTCACTGGTTCTTTTACAATTGAAGTTATATGAAATGCCAAGGGAGTAGAAAAATGTTTGTTTTTTTTTTTTTTTAAATCAGGGGCTTCCCTGATGGCTCAGTGGTTAAGAATCTGCCTGCCAATGCAGGGGACACAGGTGTGATCGCTTTCTGGGAAGATCCCACATGCCACGGAGGAACTAAGCCCCTATGCAACAACTGTTGGGCCTGTGTCCCAGAGCCTGGGAGCCGTGACTGCTGAGCCCGTGTGCCACACCTACTGAAGCTGGTGCCTCTGCGAGCCCATGCCCTGCAACGAGAGAGGCCACCACAACGAGAAACCTGCCCACCACGAAGGGCAGGCCCCGGTCATCACAACTAGAGAAAGCCTGACTAGCAACGAAGACCCAGGACAGCCCAAAATAAATAAGTCTTTTAAAAATATAAGTCAGTAGAATAGAAATGGAGTGCCCATTCAATATGTGTCAGTGATAGTGTGAAGTCTAAATAATTTTAAGCTCTAGAGCATAATGATCAAGGTGGCTAAATCTCTCCGAAGGGAAGTGGCTGCTTCTAGAAGCTGTCTACAATTGGTTAATCTTTGTGGAATGCTGACCACATGGCTAGTGAGAAATCCTTACAAACGAGGCTATCATTAAACAAGCCCTTAGTGACATCAGAATATCTGCAAGTAAAATTTTAATTTTGGAATAGAATTTAATATGACTGTAAAATGAATATGTAGGTATGTTTTTACAAGTATTTTTTTAACCAATTGAAAGAGATAATTGATCACCTGGAATGCCTTGTAAAAAAAAAACCCACACACACCCCGTTTTAAAGCTATTAAAACATGCTTTGCAAACATGGCCCCAACCAAGACTTTTATCAAAAGAAAATTGTTGGCACTGATAATCATAAGGTGCCCACAGAATAAGACATGGCTTCCCAAGTTACCTTACATGCAAATACTTACAGTGTTTCATTATTTGGTCTCCTTGCTGTGCTTTCACATTGTTTGGAAAAGTTTTTAAAAATGGAAAATGAAAAATTCTGCCTGAAAGAGGTAAAAAAAAAACAACAACAAACTGTTGAGCTTTTGGTCTTTAAACCTGATCATGTCTGTTTACGCTTTGTTCATCCAAATTCTTTCCCTGTTACACCAGCGCCGTGTTCTGCACCATTGTCCTAACTGAAACACTTCCAGGGGAGAGAGTGAAGCCTTCTGAATTGTCATTAGAGTGCTTCCAGCTTAGATAAAATGCCTCTGAATGCTAAGTGTTTTGTGTGGGCTCTAGAGATGAGAAAACTTAAATTTGCCACATTGAATCATGGATTTTTCAGTGCTCATTAAAAGATAACTTTGTGGTATATTAAGGTTTGCTGCTCACCACTCTCCTCCCCACATCGGCCTTGATGAACAAAGAACCATTCAGAGTTCATGGCTTTGAGTTATAACTGGGGGTCTCTCTTGAAAAGATTTAAAGATTCTGGACCTGGCTTTAAAATGATGTGAATTTTCAGCCTTTTTGGCTTATGTGCAGAAATATAATGTGGTCGCTCCCTATTCCTCCATCTTTCCCTCTAAGAAATTTGGCCTGTGGAAAGGGGTAAATGTCAAGAAATTAAAAGAAGGCTATACTTATACTCCTAAGATGAAACCACAGAGAGGCACAAGGGAAAACTGGATGAAGGAACAGAGAAGAGAAGAGCAGGCTGTGAGAACTCCAGCCTTTCCTGAGGAGAAAAGAGAAATGAGGTAATTCAAGATGGGCATTTCTATTTATTATTCTTCTCCGGCATTAACAGGGCTTCTCAGGTGGTGCTTGGGAAGATCCCCTAGAGGAGAGCATGGGAACCCACTGCAGTCCTCTTGCCTGGAAAATCCCATGGACAGAGGAGCCTACAATTGTAGCCTACAGGTGGGCTACAATCCACAGACGGACAGGACTGAAACGACTTGGCACGTTAGCAACATTAACAAGACAGTCGCTTGTAGGAATGACTATGTGTAAAAGCAGGATGGTGGAGAATATGTAAGGACTGTTGGACCTACTGGACTCACTTTCAGAAATTACTCAGCTTATTATTTCGCTTGTGAGAGAAAGGGGGAGTGAGAAAGAGATTGTGTGTGTGTTTGATGCTGACTCTGCATCTGTTACTTAGAGATACTCCACATGAACCAATCTACAATTAACAGGAAATGTGGTTGTTCTTGGCCTTCAGTTCTGTCTACTCTCTGTCTTTTGGAATGTTAATCAGAGACACCAAGGAGAGTTTGGGGGCCATCTGCCTAGGCAGCTGTGTGGGTTATCCAGGCTCCGCAGCTGCAGGGCAGAGGGCTGACCCAGAGTTTGCACAAACATCCACTGGCCCAGCTTCATGCTCTCCATCCTCACTAGCATCCAGAGTTTCTGACTTCAGAGATAGAGAAGGAGTCAGATGAAACTTGCTGTTGACTGCATTACCCTTTCACTTAGTACCGGCCCACAGTTGTGTAATGCCCCCCCCCCCCCCTTATTTTTTTTTAACCCAGAGGTAGTAGTCTCTTCTTTCATCTGCTGGAATAAAACACCCCTGAATTAAAGCTTTAACATGTCAGTAGCTTCAGAAGGGATGCAGCCTCCTTTCCCACAACAATGGAAGTGTCCAGAATCAGCTTTATCCTAAACCAGCATCTGTATTGTGTGTTGTCCTAGTTCTCTCACCAGCTTTGCTCACTTATAGCCCATCCTCCACCTTGCTGCCAGACTGCTACTTTACAGAAGCAAATCTGAGTGATTCTGTTTTGAATTCTCCAGTGGCCCCGCATCCTCTAAGCGACATCCTTACACTCAGAGCCCGTCATAGCTCACCTCTCCCTGGTCTCTGCTCACGCATCCTCCTCTCTGTGACCATAAGTTGTCTTGTTCTGCTTTTTCTGAACGACTTTCATTCCATGGTCTCTTGCCTTTGTGCCTTCACAAAAGCTATTCCATCTTCTTGGCATGCTTTCCCTCACACCTATCTAGCTAACTGCTACCTGTTCTTCAGAGCTCAGCAGAAGTCACTTCCTGGGGAAGTCTTGCATAAGCCCTGTTGCCATTTAGAAATTCTCCCTGCGTTCTCCCAGAGTACTATGTTCTGTTCTCAGCTCTATCATAACATTTGCCGTACTGCACCTAAGTATTGGCTGTCTTGTGTGTTGTCCCCAAGTAGCTGCTCGTGACTCTGATGGTTGGGATGAGCTCTTACTCATCTTCGTAGCTTCAGACTTTTGCACTGTGTTTTTCTGGAACGCGGGGAATACTCAGTTAATGTTCTTTGAAACTCAGCTAGTGGCACACAGCTTTCTGAGCACAGTGAATGGCCTGTCTTCTTGGTTACCCCCAAAACTTCAGGTAGATCCATACCTCCCTACCTATGTGAGGTATGAAAGGGGTGTACAATGATAACATGTGCTGGTTGATTAACTGTAAATAGGTTGATTCCAAAAACAGTTGCTTCCTGGTGTCACTCTCTTAATGCCTCATCTAATTAATTGTATGGGAATCTTCTTAGGCTGTATAATATTCTTTTAGGGCGATGTTTTTCCAGCTGTGAGTTGTGACCCATTAGTGGGTCATGAAAGCAATAAGGTGAATCAAGACTAGCATTGAAAGCAAACAAACGTGAAATAAAATAGACAAGAGAATATCAGCGTATGCTGGATAACCAACATAACCAACAAGGTCCTACTGTATAGCACATGGAACTCTGCTCAATGATATGTAGCCGCCTGGATGGGAGGGGTTTTGGGGGAGAATGGATACATGTATATGTATGGCTGAGTCCCTTCACCGCTCACCTGAAATTATCACAGCATTGTTTGTCAATCAGCTATACCCCAATATAGAACAAAATGTTAAAAAAAATAAAATTATGCAAAAGAAAGAAAAAAAGAGAATATCAGTGTATCACATGTAAAACAGTTAAGTAGTGCTCTGTTTTATTTCAGTTACATGTGTTGTGTTTACTGGGTTGCAATGTGAAAAAAGCACTTCTTTGTATGCATTACAGTGGGGAAAAAAAATCTGGAAGCAAGTGCTTTAAGGAAAGAATAAAATCCTTCACACCCTGCCATTCCATTCTGGACTGAAGTGAAGTGAATTAATTGAATCAGTAAGACCACCCCCTCCCCTCAACCCAGCACTGGTCACAAACCCACAAACCAGCCAGGAGTTTCTGCCTTTTCCATTCCCATACTAAGCTAATCCTTAGGGAGCTAGGATTCTGTTCTATAATAGAAGACAGTCTTCTGCCGGGAGAGAAATAGCTTTTTAAAAAAAGCAGTGAAAACCTTCTGTAGTGTTCTGAGTCTTTTTTTTTTTTTAAACTAAAGATTAAGACATTAGGTAACATTGACCTTATTGAGCCTACTTCCCCCACTTCTTTAGAAATGATGCTCTTTGATAAGGATTAGAGCTAGTTGATCTTTGAGATACCAGTTTTGTACTTCATTTTGCAACTGCAATTATAGCCTGATTTAAGGCTCTAATTGAATTAGCTCAGAATAAGTGATAAGGGTCTTTTAGCTGCAGGTTGAATCGACTCTTTGGAGTCAGTTTTCAGGAGGACACGGGACAGTTCATTTTCTTCTTGTCTATCTGGGAGTGACCCCATGACTATGGTGCTGGTTTAGGAGGCAGGCAGTAAAAGGGCAGGGAGTTGCTGACCAATTGACTATTTTCAAATCTGAGTTTCTGCCACAGCTTGGCAGGCTCTACCTTTTGTTTTTTTACTTACTCTTTTGTTGGCAAGTTCCTAAAAGCACAGCAGTGGCTGGGGTAAGTCAATGTGGCATCTAGGAGGTTGGTAAATTTTTCTCTTGATGGCAGTTTTTTCAGAGAATAGGATGATGTGGCAATTAGTGTCTGAATGGACTCTAGCCCATAGCTAGGCAGGGCCTGCAGTTTAGTGGAAGAAATATCCCTGAAAAGTCAAAAAAGAGAAAGGCTTACTTATTTATTTAATATATTTGATTCATACAATGAAACTTTGTCTCAACAATAGCATCATTCTAGGTTCTGAGGTATTTTTTCTCTATCTTGCTTTCTCCCTGATTCTCTGTTTCAGTTACTCTCATTAAGATATGAATTCAAAAAAGCTACGTTGTGTTTTCCCTTATATTCACCCCATTATCCATTCATTAGAATTCCCTCTCTCTCCTGCTTTCTTTCTCCCTCCCTTCCCCTCCCTCCACTTAGCCGAAGTAAAACAACCACTTGCTTTATGGTAGAGCAGGCACATGCGGTGACATCAGCTTTTGTGTTCTACCCCAGGGGGAAGTATTTAGGCCTTCAGATGCCTCTCTCTTTGTTGATCAAGCTCCACAGAGTAGGTTTTCATGAAGCACAGGCTGCTTATGCTATTAAGAGCCACTATGTGGCATTAGCCATCATCGACCTTCTCTAAAGGCAAACTGGATTCATCAGTCCAAAGCAAGTGAATACTCAGTCATGCAAGCAGAATTGTGTGGAAAGCTCAGGATTTTTCAAACAAGGTCCTGAACTCCTTAGTTTTTCTAAACTTGAGGCAATGTGCAAGAAAACTCTAAACAAATTAAATGTGAGAAGGAAGAATCAGTGGGCATTTAAAAATCCTTCCCGTCTTCCTGCTGATACACTCTGAAGATTTTCAGGCAGCACAGCCCCCTTCAGCACCATGACCCAATACTTAGTGCCCAGCACATGGGACAGGATCAGTGGGTGACTGATGGACAGATGAACTTGACACCATGGCGTGATGACTAGGGTTGGTCCTTGGTGGAGCAATCAAGGTGGCAGAATTTGCCTCGGGGATGGCAGACTCTCACTGCTTTTCTGCCCTTATTGATTTAGGTAACCAGTGTTCTCATTCTGTTTTACAGAGTTATTCTCTTAGATGTATTAGGGATTGAGTACCTGATTCTTTATAGGACTGGTGAATTTTTTTGTTTTTATTATTTTGGAGTGTAAGTAATATGTTTTAAGTTAGGATTCTATAAATGGCAAGGTCTTATTACAAAGGAGTAAATCTCTGATGATAGATTTTCAGTTTCACTGAGTGACTCGGGGAAATATTTTGGGGGTATGGATGGGAGGAATGTTTATAGATGTCACTTAAATCCTAAGGGTATAATGCAGATAGTGATTTGGGTAGTAAGAGACCTAACCCTGGTCCCACTGTTCTGAAAAAGTCAATGTAAATGCCTGCAGGGCTCACAGTCGCTTCTAAGCAGGCAGGCTGAGCAGCTTTTCAAGGGAAAACTGTCACGCTGAGTGTCTTACAACCATACTCATTCATTCTTGTACCTGACCAAAGGCAACTTTCCTTAGCCGTTCATTGCCCAAGTAGGTGGCCGGTTTGCTGTAAGAACTCTGCCTGTAGGGTGTGCTAGACCGGAGTACTTTGAATACAAGACATGTAGACAGGGACCCCTATGGTAGGATGGCAGAAGCTGAGAGACAGCAGAGAAAGCAATGAGCAGGAGCCATGAGGAAGTAGAAATCATGAGGTTGAGTGGAGAATAGAGAAGAAGTAGGATTGATGATGCCAGAAGTTAGGGAGGGGAGAAAGTCAGGAATTTTGGTGGCAGGAGTTAGGATGTCAAGAGACTCAGGTTAACAGGAAATAAGTAGAGTCAGATTGGTGATAGGAGTTGATAGTGGTGGGAGCTAGGAGCCAAAGGAAGTCAGGAGTTGATAGGAGAGGAGAGTTAGGGAGGAGTCGGGAGTTGAGAGTGGCAGGGGCTAAGAAGTCGAGTTTGGGGCTTATAATGGGGGAATATAGAGAAGTAGACAAGATCATGAGTAGATACTGGCAGGAGCTGGGGTATAAGGAGTAACTGGGTCAGTTCATTCCTTCCTCTCATCAAAGCCTTAGAGCCGCCTCACCTCACTCAAAGAGTAGCCGTAGGCCCCCTGACCCGGCTCTTGCCACCTCTCTGTCCTGCTCTGGGTCCTTCTCCTTGGCTCTCTCGGCCACACTATTCCCTTCTTTGTCCTTCCAACATGTGCACATCCTGCTCACTTCCCTCCAACTGGAATGCTCTTCCTGCTGATACCCACACAGCTTTTCTTCCTCCTTTCTTTCAGGTATTTGCTTAAATACCACTTTTTCAGGACAGTCTTCCCTGACCATACTCCTGAAAATACTAACTGCCCCTCCTGAGAACTCTTCGCCCAGACAGCTAAGCTTCTCCACTCCACAACCACCTGGTATAGTACATATTTTCTTTACTCATTTAAACCTTGTCCATCTTCCCCACTCTATGAAGGCAGACATTTGTCTTTTCTTACTCACTTGCCATTTCCCTGATGCCTAATTCAGTGCCTGGCACATAGTATGGAGTTACAGTTACTGGAAAAATCAATGAATGAATGAATAAACAGATGAACTGTACTACACTGCTCACTGTCTTTCTAGTATTTTTCTCATTTTTAATAATTATGTTTAATAATTATGTTTAAGTTGATTGATGATTGCTTTATAATATTTGTTTGATTTCTGTCATACATCAGGAGAAGGTGCTGGCACCCCACTCCAGTACTCTTGCCTGGAAAATCCCATGGATGGAGGAGCCTGGTAGGCTGCAGTCCATGGGGTCGCTGAGAGTTGGACACGACTGAGCGACTTCACTTTCACTTTTCACTTTCATGCATTGNAAGGCATTGGCAACCCACTCCAGTGTTCTTGCTTGGAGAATCCCAGGGACGGGGGAGCCTGGTAGGCTGCAGTCCATGGGGTCGCTGAGAGTCGGACATGACTAAGCAACTTCACTTTCACTTTTCCTTTCATGCATTGGAGAAGGAAATGGCAACCCACTCCAGTGTTCTTGCTTGGAGAATCCCAGGGACGGGGGAGCCTGGTGGGTTGCCGTCTATGGGGTTGCACAGAGTTGGACCCGACTGAAGTGACTTAGCAGCAGCAGCATACATCAACATGAATTAACCATAGGTATACCTATGTCCCTTCCCTCTTGAAACTCCCACCCCCCTCCCACCCTTTCCTACTCCTCTAGTTTAATACAGAACCCAGTTTGAGTTCCCTGAGGCATACAGCAAATTTCCATTGGCTCTCTATTTTACCTATGTTATGTACACGCTTCCATGCTACTCTCTCCATTCATCATAATACTTTTCTCATTTTAAAGTCATGTGCCTGTTTATCACTTTGCCTGTTTATCATTCTTTCCCCTCCATAGTGTAATTTCTTTATAGGGCGGCAACCAGAGCCCACCACTATCTGCAGCGTCGTGCCTGATGAACAGGATGTGTTCAAGCCGTGCTTGAAGGCCTTAGTGATGGGGTGCCAGAGTAGGAAGGAGTGGGCTGGTACCTCTGCGGAGAGGTGAGGCAGACTCCGCTGTTGGAGCTGCGACGTGTCTGGGGCCCTGCTGCATTTCTCCCTGAAGCCTGGCTGCAGCTGCGCTTGTTTTCTATAGGATGTTTCTGGCTTCCCAAGGTGCTGGTTCAATCTCCTGTTCCTCTTAATGTTCCCGTGTGTCCTTATGCTCAATGCCCATTAACTGAGGGAACTGGGCCCTGATCCTTGCATCCTCAGACAGCCTGACACAACGGCAGCTCACTCAACACTAATTCTCACGGGGGGTACCAGGGAACACCGACCCCTCTGCCGGCACATGAAGAGGCCCGCTGTATCTGATGCTGGCTGAACTGTGTCTCACCCAAATTCATAGGTTGAAGTCCTAACACACAGTACCTCAGAATGTGACCTTAACTGAAACAGGATATTTCCAGAGGTAATCAGATTACAGTGAGATCAGGAGGATGGGGCCTAATCCAATATGACTGGTACCTTTGTACAAAGGGGGAAATTTGGAGACAGAGAGAAACATAGAACACCCTGTGGAGACAGTTCTGCTGCCACAACCAGGAGCTGCCAGGAGCCAGGAGGGGACTGGCACAAGTCCTCCCCTCGCAGCCCGCAGAGGAAGCAGGCTTGCTGACAGCCTCGTTTCAGACTCTAGCCTCTAGAGCTGCAGGACAGTGCAGTGATGTTGTTTCAGTCCCTAGTGGGTGGTGCTTTGTTATGGTAGTCCTTCCCCATGCAGAGACTGGTTCCCCCACAAACCCAGCTGGAGATGATGTGACTGGACACCCTGAACCAGCCTGTTGGGGTGCACCAGGCGGGGAGGGGAGGCAGCACCACTGTACTCACAAGACGCTAGGCCCCGTGGCCCCCCGGAAGGCGTCGTTGTGCATCTTCTCCAGGTGTGCATTTTCCTTTAGCTCCCTGTGGGGAAGGACAGGGCCCTTAGAGGAGTTTCCAGCTCACATGTAACCAGTCAAAGCTGTGTACATGCATGTTTGGAGCAGCCCATGTATGTGGTGCTCAGGGGTAGAGGCAACAAGGAGGGGCTGTAGGTAAAATGCAAAAACGGCATTCTTGTCTTTGGCACAACTATGAAATCTTGGGTGTTTGGCTTTGCCCTTTCCCTGCGGTTTCCCCCTCTCTCAGGGAACCCTTTGTCCTACCACTGAAAGCACTCGCTCCTGCCCTGGAGCTGTGCACGTTTCCTCCACGCAGCTGGGCAGGCAGAAATGCTGCTCCAGTGTTCAAGGCTGAAGGGTGCAGGTGCGGCGCGCTCTGTACCAGGCTGTCAGCCATCATGACCTTGGAGAGCTCAGTGTTCGTTTATACTGAAGTTTGCAAATCTTAAAAGAAAAGTAGCATCCATTCAAAGCTACCCCCTTTCATCATGTTAATTGGACTTTTTCTTTCAGCTGTGCATTTCTACTTGGGCTTCCCAGGTGGCGCTAGTGGTAAAGAACCTGGTTGCCAATGCAGGAGCCAGAAGCAACTGGGGTTCCATCCCTGGGTCAGGAAGATCCCCTGGATGAGGGCATGACAACCCACTGCAGTATTCTTGCCTAGAGAATCCCAAGGACAGAGGAGCCTGGAGGGCTGCAGTCCATGGGGTCACACAGAGTCAGACACGACTGAAGTGACTGAGCATGCATGCATGTGCATTTTTTGGTGGGTGACAAAGGGGAAGAAGAACAGCTTGTATAGAAAATTGCCTCCTACACCAGTCTGGGCTACATGTCTGATCATCAGTAGGTATGTGTGTTGTAGGCAAAGAAGGGTCGAAGGCCACTGCTCTTAAGGAACCCAAAAGCTGCAATGTGAGTAGCCGCCTGAGGGCTTCTGTTCCTTTTAGGGCTCCCCTGGTAGCTCAGATGGTAAAGAATCTGCCTGTAATGCAGTAGACCCGAGTTCGATCCCTGGGTCAAGGAAGATCCCCTGGAGAATAGCTACCCACTCCAGGATTCTTGCCTGCAGAATTCCACAGCTTAGAGTAAGCTTCTCAGGACCAGCTTGGCCTGGCCCCACTGAGTAGCTCCCATCTGGGCCCTAACGGTGGTGTCTCCAAGCACAGGCCCCTCTGGATGGATAGGGGAGCTGGGAAAGGAGTCCCTGGGCTCAGACTTGCCAGCTTACTTTTGATCACTTTCTTCCTATAAGAGAAGGGTTTCAAAGAACTTTCTGGAAAACCCTGGACAATGGGTAGAGTGTACATTCATTTTTGGCATGATGATTGTGAACACGGGATATGATTCTTCTAGTAGCACTGTTTCAGTGGTGAAAGAAATATACCAACACCCACTGCCCCTGCCTTGCAGGATCCTTTGTAATCAGGCAGCTCATCTCATAGCTTTACATCTTCTTTATCATCTTTCTGCAAGACTCCACATCACCCTTGCCATTTAAAAACTGCAAAAGCCCCTGCATTTCACCCATTGGTGGCTGTTTTCCATATGCTTCTACTAAGCATTTTCCTTGGGAAGCCTCAGCCCTTTCATCACAGTGCACCCGTCTGTCTCACATCGTCCCATCCCCTGGGTATATTTCCACTTTCAAAGTGATGAGGTTGTCAGAGTCAATTGCTATTTAAAATCTAAATCAAAAGAAAATTTCCTTCCCAAACCTCCCTGGCTCTTCTTCCTGATTTGGTTTGTTTTAATTATGTTTGGTTGTGGTCATAAATCATTGAAACCAGGCTCTGTGAGCAGATAATCCTCATGTCAGCCAGGTCAAATTAATTGTTCAAATTTTATGACAGCTTTTCGCATGTTTTATTAAAACTCGGATCTTTCTGTATAATGATAACTCTGCATTATGTAACTCAGCCAAAAAGAAATCAAATTTATCTACCACGTTTTCCTGGAGGTCCTTTTGGGAAATCTCCTGAGTGGCATGGCCATCTAGATATGAGAGACACAGGCAGGCAGGATGACCTTTGGTGGTACAGTGGGAGAACCCCCAAATTCCAGCCATGGCTTCCCTAATGGGGGTGCTCAGGGAATGGTAGGGAGGGACTCTGGGACCCCTGGAGGTATCTGAGGGTAACCTTCTGAGGTTGCTCCCCTCCACCATATCTGCCTTAGTAAGCAGCATATTTGAGGACTTTGTAGCGCTCTGGTGTCATCGTTCTGGACAGCTTTGGACAGGCCTGTACACGAGGAAGGTGTCAGAAATGGGGCTGGATTGTCTAGTTGAAAAGTTTTGCCCAATTCTTTTGAAAACTACTCCCTCTGCCCTGCTCAAACCCTTCAGTGGGTCTCCTTCCCCTCAGAAGAGAATTCAGACTCCTTCCCATGGCCCCTCGGTCCTGATGCCTTGCTCCTGACACATCTCCATGATTATCTCATCCAGTGTCCCTCTTGCTGATGGCCCTCCAGGCACAGCAGCCTCCTCCCAATCCTTGGAGCTTATCAACTTCTTTTCTTGCTCAACTCAGGCCCTTTGCACATGCTGCTCCCTCTTTCTGTAATGTGCTTCCTCTCATGATTGCCGAGGCTGACCCCTTGTCATCCTTAAGACTCAGCCTAAATATTATATCCTTGGTGAGGACTGTCCCTGAGCACCTAACCTAGGGTCAGTCTCCTCACTGTGATTTCTCAAACCTCAGTACTGAGTTATTTCCTTCTCGGTATTTATCACTGCCTGCAATGAGCCCATTCATTTTTTGCCTTTTGGTCCATCTCTTCTGCTAGAAACTTCATGAGGGCGGGGACTGTTCTCACTGTACCGCTGCAGACCCAGCCCTTAACACCGCGCCTCATATATTGGCGACGCTCAATAGGTGTGATGTGTTGAATGAATAAATGAATGAGATAGGTTTGTGTTCCTGGCAAACTGATTTGTGATCTTGGTTTCCTCTTTCTTGAAACTATGAGGTATGGGGCACTCATACTAATGAAACTTTGGGACTTTTTAAGTCCACACCCATTTCAGTGCCTCTCAAGGGGTTGGCCAGGACCTCCCTCCTATGTCTTGCTTCCCCTCACCTCCCAAAGTGTACCCTGCTGGTTACCTTCTCGCCTCTGACTTTGCTCTGGCTTCTTTTCCTCATCTATTGTCTTCCCTTAATTTTATATTCAGTCCTCTTATTTTTCCTCCTTGTACAGGTGACCTGGGCCACAAAGGACTTCACGTATCCCCTCTCCTCAGGTACTTCTGACTTCTGTGTCTGCCCTGGACTGCCCCTTCCAACCCTCTGCCCTTCCTGCTAACCCATCCACCAACCTTCCCTTAGCAGCCCTCTCATACTTTCTACCCCAGGACTTTCAAAGGCTTGTTTTCTACAGCAGAGAGTCCAAATTCTTTACCCCAGCATCGAAGGTCCTTCCTGCTTTGTCCTTGATCCACATCTAGGACTTTTAAAATCCTACTATTTTCTGGGCTATGAGCACATCCTAAGCACCTTCCTCTGGGCTGTTCTTGTCCTCTGAACATAGTGCATTTTCCTTCCATCTCTGCTTGTCCAAGTTAAGCCCGGCTCAAGGTCTGTGTCTCTCATGAGGCTGTCTCTAATTCCCTTCTCTTCTGCTCCTGAAATTCCAGAGGACTTTACCTCTCTCCGGCCAGGTGCCATACTTTGCCTTCTGTTTTAGTAACTGCTTTGTGTACAGTTTGCATACCATTTAGGAGTGTTTCTTCCTAGGCTGTAAACTCCTGCAGGGCAAACACCAGGCCTTAGTCATCTTCATTTCATCTCAAAATATAGCAGGTTCCTTCATACACAGCTGATGCCTGGCAAGCACTTGTCAATACCAATATGAGGCATCTGGGAGTGCTGTGCCCAGAGAGGATAGGCCTCTGATTTTAATTCAGCAGAAACAGATTCAACTGGCCAGAGTGAAACCCGCACTGAATTCAGGTCCGCAAGAAAATGAGGAAAAATCTACTCCATGATAGGAAGGACAACTTTTTAAAAAGCTGCCATTTCTTGAGCACATAGAATGTGCCAGACCTGTGTTAAGTGCATGAGAACAATCATATTTAGTATCATTCATTCATAATTAATTAACTATATAATGTGACAGATAATAAGAGAGCACCTACTCTATGCTAGGCACTGTGCTAAGTACTGAGGATACAACACAGAGCTTTTCATTTTGGTGGCGTATCCTCCATATAAACATATTAACAGCTCTGTTTTATGGATGAAAACACTATGGTTTAGAGTGCTTAAGTAACTTGCTCAAGATCAAGGTGATAAATGATGGAATTGGAGTTTCAGTCCCAGTTAGTGACTTTTAGATCTGTTTTCTTAGCCACCAAGCTACATAACATGGTATTAATATAATAAGGTCTTTAGTTAATATTTATCATTAAAGTATATAATATACTATATATAAACTTTTGCTACTCAACTTCAGACTGGCAGCATTAGCAGCTCTAGGGAGCTTGTTAAAATTTCAGATTTTCAGGCCCCACCCTAGACCTACTGAATTAAAGTGTCTGGGAGTGGGGCCTGGGATCTGTGTGTTAACTATCTCCAGCTATTCTTATGTTTGTTAAAGTTGGAGAAGCACTGGTGAAGACCATGGTTTATACATGAAAAGTGAAAGTGTTAGTCATTCAGTTGGGTCTGACTCTTTGTGACCCCATGGACTGTAGCCCGCCAGGCTTCTCTGTCCATGGGATTCTCCAGGCAAGAATACTGGAGTGGATGCCATTCCATCCCCCAGGGATCTTCCCGACCCAGGGATTGAACCTGGGTCTCCCACATTGCAGGCAGATTCTTTACTCTCAGCCACCAGGGGAACCCAAACTTATACATGACTTATTAATGGTAAAAGCCTTTTCATCTGTTTGCTTTCCTCAACTTTGGCTTTAGTCGTGCCTTTCACATGTTGTTAGGTTTTACTCTCGACAACTGTAGGGTGATGGTCATCTTCCTCGGTACCTGTTATGGTTCAAGCAGTGCACCCCTGCCCCCCGCCGCCCCACAAGCTTTGTGAATGAGCCACTTTTTAAAGGAAAGGGGTCACAGAAAGAAAGAGAGGCTGAGGACAATGAAGGAAGCAACGGGGATGCTTCTCTAGAGTTGAAGGCTGTCCGCACTGGGGACCAGGGTAGGGTGTGGGGAAAATGCAGGGCTCCCTCACCTTGTGGAAAATGAGCTCCTTACCCACCCCTGCCCCCAGCCCCTGCAGTAGGGAGATGGGATTCTGTGTGGGCCTGTTGAGGCTGATTAGGCTGGTAAATGGCCTTATCCAACATCTTTGCAGTGGGGCCAGGAGGAAGAATTTCATCACTGAAATCGTGCTGCCTCTAACACACCATCAAGCCAAGTGAGGGGACTAGAGAGGGGGGCTGTGAGATGGAGGAACCTAAAGCAGGGTGTTGAATATTTCAGCAAACTGTCAACTTCAATGTATCCAGGCTGCATCTGTTTTTGATATCAGGGTGCTCTGGGGTTTCCAGTCAGCCAGTTGCCTAGTAACATGCATGCTACACTGAGGACCAGGCACTTGAAAGTTTATTTTTGTCCTGAGTTAGTTGCTGAAGATTGATTGTGATCTGGTAGCCAGAGTAATATTTCATTTTTATTCATAAGCTGGGGAAACACGCACATACTTACAGGGAAATCAGTGTTGTCCCATTGAATGCATGACTTTGTATTTCTTCAAATCCATTTCCATATAGTTTTCTGAAGAGGGAGGAGAGAGATTTTAGAAACGAAAGAAACATAGTTTGGAATCACACATTCTTCTTTCTGTGACATTTATTACTAAGATAATTACTGGCATTTACAATATCTAGCTCAGTTTTTCTAACATTTTAGGTCCTCAGGGCCTACTGAGATAAGACTGTTTCCTTGCTCTAGTTTACTTCCACCTCCACCACCAGGACCACTACTAATTTGTTAAATGTTTATTAAGTGCCAGATAGTGATCATTATGCTGATCACTATCTGGCACTTAATAAACACTTAATAAAATATATGCAAAAAATTCTGCATATATTTTATGATTTAATCCTCATTGTCATTCCTACTATTCTGATCAGAAACCTAAGCCTTCATGTTGCTGTGTAACTTGCTTAAGGTCAGAGAAAACAGTGGCAGAACTGGAACTGGAGGCTTGGGCCATCTAACACTTAAGTCTTTGGTTGTCCAGGCCAGTGTGGGTTTTCCGGATCACTGAAAGCTGAGGGCAGAAGGCTCCAGTACTGAGTTACTGTTTCTTTTTCTTAGATGAATCTGTGGTGTTAGTGTTAGCCATATTTTGTTCCACAACCAAGATTTCAGTGTCTGTGAATAGTTATTTAAGACCCGTTGGATAGTGAAATCAATTTAGTTGGATGCAATCAGCATTTAACAAAATGAAATAGAACAAACTGGAAAATGTTAGAGTATGTTGCATGTAATCAGGGTAGTACTGTTTATGACGTTTTGTGCCACCATTGTTTATGTAATGTACATGAAAGTATACGTATACATACATATATATTAGTCTGCCCAGAGCAAGACTAAAGACTCCTTAGAACACAGATGCTGGGAAATGTTAGAGCCAGAAAAGAACTTGGAGAGGAGCGAGGCGCATCCTTTCACTTTACAAAGAAGGAACGAGGCTCAGAGAAGAACGTGGCTTGTCTAAAGTCCACAGTTGGTGGAAATGAGACCAGAATACACTTTGACTGGGGCTACTTCTGGCACATCAGTTTTTCTGGTTGATGTGCCTTTTCTTCCCTGAAACATCCACATGGCCCCTCTTCCTCCTCCTGTAGAACTATGTTCAATGTTGTGTTCTTGGTGTGGCCCTTCCTGACTGCCCTATTTTACCACCCTTCCCTTCCCCAGCATTCCAGCATTCTCCCTCTCCCTTCTCTGATTTACTTTATCAGCATCTGACTCATGATTATATTGTTGTCTGCCTCTCCCAGCAGAATGTAACCTTTATGAGAACAAGAATTCTGATTATTCTGTTCGCATCTGGGAGGATTACAGTGAATATATGTTCCGTGAATTGAATGGACAAATGGTAATATATAAGATGAATTTCTTAGTGTAAACCATAGCCAAGCAAGTTTGAAAGCCACAGTCTCAAATGGAAATGTTTGTGTATGTTCTCCATAAACAGTGACTTAAGACTCAAGTAAGAAAGGGCTGTGGTGTGACATAAAATTAAGCTTCTGCATCTGGCAAGATGCTCACTTTGCTTTTCAGTGCTGCTGGCAGCTGCGTGGGCTGTGTCAGCGACAGGATGAAAGGGGTGACGTGGCAAACAGTCTCCACCCACTCCTCAGGTGACTGCTGTCTGCAAGGCTTCTCTAGCCTTTGTCAAATAAAACTAGCACAGGGTTTCATTTCATTGTATCGGTCTGTGTGTGATATGTATGTATATAGTGTGTGTTGGGGGTGGGGAGGGTCCCTTCCTTTCCATCAACACAGCTGAGACAAACCAGCCTATAAGTGAATAAAGGTGGGACTCAGTGTTGAAGCATGGTATTTAAAGACTGCAATTCATAAAATATAGATGTTACAAAATAATGAGTTCAGAGATTGCAGGGGATCGTATTTAATTCATTTTGTAACCTGCCCCACCCGCCCCGATCTCTCATAATGCTGTTATCTAGCAGGAGCTCAGTCAACAGGCTGGCAGCAGAAGTAGCCTTGCCCTTCCACGGGAGAAAGAGCCTTGTCTGGCTCCCCCTGCTCTCATAGGCATTCTCCTGTGTTTACAGTTTCACAGATGAGCTCTTAACTGTATTCAGTAATGGATTATTGGATGCCATTTTTCAATAGTTTTCCTTCACCATTTATATTGTAGAATCTGAGGGGATTGATATTTGGATTATGTCTGTTGTCTTGTGCAATTACACACAACCTTCTTACCTCCTCCACACAATCCCACTAGAGTTCTCTTTTTATTTTACACTTAGAATATTGTTCTTCGTCAGCTGCTTGTCATCTTAGGGACTGAATGCTTTTATAATAATCTCTTTTAGATGAAGAAATCATACCTGTCTCTTCTCGGAACTTTTGAAATTGCATCTTTTAGAGTCTAGTCTACTGTTTGTCAAATCAGTCTCCTCCATCCACTGAATCAGCATCATCTGGAGTTGCTGGCCAGAAATGCAGACTCAGACCTATTGACGAGGTGCCCTGCAGACCTAGAGTCAGAACCTGGCTGTGGTAGCCAGTAACATGCACATTTTTTGGAAATGCATATTATTTTGTCATGAGTTAATTTCCTTTTTAACAAGTAATTATTTTTTGGTTGCACTGGGTCTTCATTGCTGCGCACAGGCTTCCTCTAGTTGTAGCAAGCAGGAGCTACTCTCTAGCTGTGGTGCCTGGGCTTCTCATCGCAGTGGCCTCTTGTGGAGCACAGGCGTGCGGGCTGCAGTAGTTTTGTCTCCTGGGCTCTAGAGCACAGGTTCAATAGTTGTGGCGCACAGAATTAGTTGCTTTGCGGCATGTGGGATCTTCCCAGGTCAGGGATTGAACCCATGTCTCCAGCATTGGCAGGCGAATTCTTAACCACTGTGCCACCAGAGAAGTCTGCAAAGGCACTTTCATAGCAAGCTCTCCCAGTGAGCTTTGGGCATGCCACTTTGCGACCTCTTGCCCTAGGGTATATGTAATAGGATGCCGCAGCCCTCATTGTTTTCATGGTGCAAATCAGATGGTCTGTTGGACAGCACTGAGTCCAGAGTCTGGTCCCCTTACTGCATTCTCTGCCTTCTTAGTGGTGGAGCTCCATGTGTAGGAAAGGTAGTCCCTACTCTGCTTCTTACAAAGCAAAGCTGCCACCGCTTGTCTGAATGCCCAGTCCTCACCACTGTTATGTGATACCCTGATCCTACTTTTGATACATCTTAGGATCTTCCAGTTGACGTTTTTGTGGGGCCTACAGTGCCATTGCTGTGAGTGCAGCCTTGCAGGTAAGCCTGCAAGCCCTGAACCCAAGCCTTACCTGGGCTCGAATCCTAGCTCTACTACTTATGAACTGAGTTGCTTTAGGCAAGTTACTTAACCTCTCTGCGTCTCAACTTCCTGATCTGAAAACAGGAATGATAATAATAGTCTTGACCTCAAAAGACTGTTGTGTAGATTAAAACAGTATACATACGTTAAGTGCTTGGAACTGGGTTCCAGAACAAAGTAAATGCTTAGTGTGTTGTGCCTATGATTATTATTATTATCGTATTTAACAGTGGCTTCCAGATCTCTGGCAGAACAGAGGGAAAGATGTCCTTTCCCATGCTCTGAACAGCCTGTCCTGAAATGCAGTGACCTGTTAAATTGAACTGTCATTCTCCTCTGCTGAGGTGGGGGCCTTTCTTCTCCTGGATGGAGCAGGTCAACTCAGTGGCGTGGGCTGCTGCAAATGTACTTACTCCCTGGGGGCCCTCAACCACCTCTGGTCTATGTTGTCATCATTGCATTTTTGTATTTGAACATTTTTCCTGTCTTAAAATTTTTTTTTTTAATATTCTGGATTCTGCTTCTTCCAACTTTCCAAAGAATCTGGCTCACTATTTCCTTTTCAACTGCTGTTCTTCGCCTCTGTTCTTAACATTTGCAGACAATAGAATGTGCTGCCTTGTTTTGATTAAATGAGTGGAGAAATTACAGATGTGAGTGGGAAACCTCATGCTGTCAGCCTGCAGAATGCTTTAAATGCCCTTTAAAACATCTGGAGAGTCACTTCAGATTGCTTTTCTCCAAAACATCATGGTGTCAGAATTAAATGAGGAGGGCTTCCTTTGCCTGAGGATGCTGTCACAGGCATAGAAATGAATTTTTCTCTCATCTCTTACAATAACTGCACCTTACTTTAAAGCATTGTCTAGGTTCTCTATTCAAATGTCAGAAATTGTGACTCAGAGAAGTGGCACCTTTTTATTCAAAATAAGATTCGGGCTTTAGAACTTCATCACAGATGACACTCTAATTCTGAATGCTGCCTTATAGCAAACCCCAACTATTCCTGGGGCTTTAAAAGTATTTCTGGGGTTATAGTAGCAGTCGCAGACATTTTGCCATAGTTCCCACTCAGATCATGTAGCCAACTTGGTTTTGAATGATTTCAAAGAAGAAAGCTTAGTTTAGGTTTATAGATCCTCAGGGTCTCAAAGAGTGTCCCCACTAAATGGGGAAGTATCACATGCCTTAGGATATGGGGCCCTCCCATGTCTTTACTGAGGACACAAGATATGGAGGATCCACGTGCTTGCATGGTTAGTCACTCAGTCGTGTCTGACTCTTCGCAATCCCATAGCTGATAGCCTGCCAGGCTCCTCTGTCCATGGAATTTCCCAGGCAAGAATACTGGAGTGGGTTGCTATTTCTTCCTCCATCCATGTCCTTGAAAGGATCATAATCTCAATGAGTGAAAACATGACATAATGAAAGAATAACACAAGCCAGGAGACATTCCCTGTGAGCTTGCGTGGCGCGCAGAAATGAGAAGTCTTGGACAAGTCCTCCGGGGTTAGAGGAGTCAGAAGGCTGTGTGGTGGACTCAGACCTTGTGGAATCAGCAGCGCACTCTTCTAGAAAATCTGCCCTGTGGTAGTATATCTGTAAGCAAATCTTTATCAGATGGTCATGCAAACACCATCCTAAAGAAGAGGGATCCTAAAATCACCACTTTCTTCTTACAATACTTTGCTAAGCCCTTTTATATCTGAATACTTCTTCATGCATGAAGACACTTCTTCAGTGGGTGCCCTGGCAGTGGTTGTGTGGATAACTGTCTCTGGTCACTGCTAGATGCTGCCATGACCCTAGTTTTGGAATGTCATCAGAACTCCCCCATATCTCTGGGGCTCACATTCTCCATAGCAAGGAATTCCTCTCTCTGATTTGAGCACACCTCTTGCTTTTCAGCAGTTCTGAGTTTTTATGTTTCCCTCCACCATGGCCAAGTTCATGTCAGCTTACCATATGCTACATAAAAAGGTGACATGCATTCAAAATAATAATGATAGCAATGGAGAATAATACCTTGAATAGCATTTTGAAAAACCCATGTTTCATAGTGATACTTAAAAAGAGAGAGAGAAAGAGAGGAGAATGAAGAAAAAAAGAAACCTTTTTGATACAGAAGAGTGCTGCCTGATAAATGTAGAGGAGTGATACATTTAAAATTACCACTTGATAGCTCTCTATAATAACTGAATAATGAATGAATGCTGAAACCACTGGGTGAAAGATTGTTGGCCAATGGATAGTCACACGAACTCAAAGTATCCCATGATGGGTTACTGAATTATGACAAAGGGAGAAACATGCCCTTACAATGAAGAGGTCTGGCAGTACCTCCATAACTAAATGACCGAGGAGTGGCATAGCATGACATGATGTACCTCCTGGTCTGAGGCAGAGGGAGACATTTAACATCTAATCAGGACAGTATAGTTGGATGAGTCCAGACAACTGGCCTAAGCCTTCAAAGGAATTAGTGTTTTGCAGAGCCGGGGAAGACGGGAGGGCAGTTCTCAGGGAGTGAGGTTGGGAGGACGAAGGGACATAACAGCAAAAGTGCTGTGGATAATGTTTGAATTCCGAGTTTTAAAAAAAATCTGTCAAAGACATTTTCATTTGAACGTAGACTGTAAGTTGGATGATGTCATTAAATCCATGTTGATTTTCTTAGGTGTAATGGTGTTATAGTTCCAGAGAATGTTTCTATTTAGGGAGATACATGCTGAAGTATTTGGGTAGGAAGTATCATGTCTATAAACTTCTTTTGGATGGTTTGGCAAAAGGGAAATGTGTTGTATATATTTACATATATATAGAGATGGAGTGGATGTGGCAAGATGATAACAGTAGGTGAAACTAGGTAAGATGTATAAAGGTGTTCATAGTGCTGTTCTTTCCATTTGTCAGTGGAAAGACAAATGAAAAGTGATTCTATTTGTCAGTTAAAATTTTAAAAATAAAAAAAGTATTTAAAAAGAGATGATGAGACACATTTTCATGATGGTCTGAAACAGTCTGCTTGCTAAATATGAGCTTTTAAGTGGTGATACAGTGTGGTTGACACAATGTGACTGAATTGAATTTGCACAAGGAGGTATTAATAGTCCCACTGGAAAGTTTGTTGCAGATCTGTGACTTGGCTAAAGCTGGGTGGACTTAAAGCCAGGACTAATGCCCAGGCTTTCTACTTCAGTGCCCAACAGTCTCTCCGCTCATCATCCCACGGCTCATCACGGGTGCAGCCAGGAATCTTGTCCTCCTTTGCTGGGCCACCCTTCGCTGAAGGGTCTTAGAGAATTGATTGCCATGACCTTTCCTTCTCTGTGAGGAGTTCAAATGTGAATCAAGGTTGACTCCTTTTTTGAGCCTGGTATGACAAGTCATTTAGAATATTGTAAGGGTGGTGCAGCCAAATCCTGCTCATTCAGGGTGGGGGGCATTTCAAGGTAGCCTCTTGAGGAGAATTAATGAAAAGCCAAATGGCTTTAAAGGGACATAAGAGCATAATGCATAGTTTTAGCATTAGCCCCACTGAGCTTCTCCAGCATCAAGTGAAGTGTTTTGTTTTCATTAAAAGAGCTCACAGTTGGTAAAGATCTGGGCGGGGGAAGGGTAGGAAAGCTTCCATAAAAAGCGAAATCTCAACTACTACTAATAATGAGAAGAGAAGGCTTGCCTTCATTATTTTCTAATTAGAGAGTTGAACTTTATAGCTGAGGAAATAAGGTTTTCCTCTTTGAATGTAATACCCTTTTCCAGCGGGGTGCTCCACATGATCCTGCATGTACAGAAAGGCCCATTCAGCTGAGAATAAGTGCCAAGCAAATGACTAATCACTCCCTTCCAGATGAAGGGCCAGGAGTGAGGAGGGAGACGGAGGCACAGTGCCCTCACGGGCTCCCTGGGAGAGAGGGAGCTGCAGTCCTCATTAACTGCAGAAGTGGGGCAATTACGCCCTGCTGCTGGGCACTGTTCTTCTTAGAATCATAACTAAAATAAGTTAATGGCCCCTAACAAAAACACTGTGCTGCTCTTGTGTACGAGATGCTGAAATGTGGCGGGTGAGAAGAAGTCGTTGGTTTCCCCTTGGGTTTGGTGGGCGGCCCCATCGCGTGAACTCATAGACCCTTGTGGGTATCTCAACATTCGTTTTCTTACTGGTCCTTCCACACCTTCTGCGCTTCCTTCCGTTCTCGCTGCAGTCCTCTCCCCTGGCCGTGCTTGTTGTCTGGGAGGAGTACTTACTGGTTTCCTGATTACTCTTAGATTGAGGTCAGAATCAAAGGAAGTCTTGGAGATTTGTGATCTTTGAATAAGAGCTATTCTACTGAGTGGTTTCTTCTTATTACTTTTTCCCCAGGGTTATTTCTAAGCTGTTAGCCCCTGAACCGTGCATTCAAAACCCTCTGCAATCCAGTGTTTCCTCCACCCCTGCCCTTTATCTAAACGTATTTTCCGTCTCTTAAGCAGGATGTTTACTGCCAATGAATATGCCTCATCCCACTTTCCTCCTTCCCACCGCCATGCTTTTGCTCATGTTCACTTGGAATGTTTGCCCCCTTTTTCAGTATATGGTTCCACATAATGCTTAAGACCATGACTCTGGAGCCAAGACTGTCTGAGACTAAAGCTTGACCTGGGGTGAATTACTTAACTTCTCAGTGGCTTGGTTTCCTCATCTAAACATGGGGTGGACAGCCCCTACCTCAAAGGGTTGCAAGATTTAAATGAGTTTTTAAAAAAGCACTTTAAAACCGTGTAGGCACTTAATAAGTGCTATATAAATATTAGCCATTTTTATCACATTTACTCATACAAGCGTTACTGATTCTGCGAGGTCTCACTCAGGTCCACAGCCTGACTTCTACAGCCCAAGAGAACCTCTCCAAGATTTCTTATTTCTGTGTACCGCACACTTGCAGTGAATGTCTACTGGCTTGTATTATTCTTTCATGTTTTCTCCCATTGAGACTGCGAGCTTCCCAAAGACATGGATCTTATATGTCTTTTGTGTCCTCAGCAAAGACACAGAAAGACCCCAAATCCTAAGGCGCACAGTACCTCCCCACTCAGTGCTCTGTAAATGCCCTGTTCTGACAGGGGACATGATGATGAGTGGTTCCTGATCCATAGGTGATGGTGAGTCAGAAAGGCTTTATAAGCAGCTAGAAGAGCTACAGTACCTGAGGGAAGTGCAGGAGTAGAAAGATTGTAGAGAAGTTTTTCTAGGATATAGTCTCCTTTCTGATGTGTAAGAGATGCAAGGTAAGAACTTGAGTTATTTTGAAACTCTTTTTGGTTGCTGCTCTGTATTCTTTTGATTGCAACACTGGTGAGTCCAGGCTGCACTGGTCACAGCTTTGTAACATGATAACTGTTATGTGTTCAATTATACTTATACACAGTAAAATTACTAATCAAATGCAGTGCACCACTGATACCAATTTCTAGAATCCATTGCATAAAAGGCAGTCCTCTGAGATGGTCTCTTCTCTTGTTTCACAACTAGCTCCTCATTTCTGGGTCATCAATACATGCTTTCTCTTTCTTTAAGGACATTTAAGGTCATTGATTGTCTTATCACGATCCTGCCATGGAATGTAACCAAAGCAGAACGAGTGCCAGGATGTAGACATGGGAGCAGAATTGAACATGGGCCACTGGGCTTTGGAGATAAATGAGATGTGGTGCCCAGAATTCTGCCTCTGAATGGTGGAGCAAAGGAAAGTGGCCCATGTGAAGAGGGCAGGGATCTAACAGGAGGGAAGTCAGGCAGGTATACAGTGAAGAGAATAAGTTGGGTTATCTTAGCATGATGCCCCTCAAACTTTAATGTGATGTGATTTACTTCGAATCTTATTAAAATGCAGATTCTGAGTCAGTAGGTCTGGGATTAGCCTGAGAATCTGAGTTTCTTACCAGCTCTCAGAGGACACTATAGATGCTTGTCCATGGACCGTACGTTTAGTAGCGAGGCCTTAGGAAAGAACATGGAAGGGATAACCTGATGAGTGACTGCCAGATGAGAAGACATTATTTTCAAGTACGAAAGGATGTAGGGAATGGGCATAGTTGGTGTTCCTTCAGAAACAAAGTAAGCAGGTGCCAAAGAGAAGGTGTAAAATGACTGAGAGAGAGAGAGAGAAAGAGAAAGAGCAGGGTCCTTTGATCAGCTACTCCACCTACTTGAAGAATATCCTTCCAACCTCTTCTCAGTTGAAACTTGAAATTTCTGTGCTCTCTTTTTACCAGGGCAGTCACTCCCCTCCAGGCTGTCTCTTTTTAGCTTCAAAGCAGTCCATCGATGTAGTGAACAATTTCATCAGTTGGAAATTCAGTCACTGTAAATCCTCAGGGCCCATTTGATTAATTTTGAACTTAATGGGTTGGTTGGTTGTCATATATGAACATATGACCTAGCTGCCATCCCACACGACTCCTCTCACCCTTGGCATTTTAGGTCAGAAAGAATGTCAGCAGCGAGTTAGGAACATGATGAAAGACAAGAAAGAGCCCACCTCAAGCTAGAAGTGGGAATTAAAAAAAAAAAAGAAGTGGGAATAGTAGGAGCTGCATGGCAGAGCGTGAATCTGCACATTTACTTACAGCGTTATGGATTCGTTATTCATCCCTTGAAAAGCATTTCCTGGTACAGTGGTTATGTGTAAGTTATCACAAATTTCCCTTGAGGAATGAAATGAGAAATATTTACTTTCTAAATTTCAGCTGCAAATAGGAAACTGTTATGCATAGCAATCAGCCTGGTACTTACAGAATGAAATTAAATTCAGAGGAGAAGATCTTCGTAACATCTGGAAGCTTGCGGATGCCTGTGTTACAGATGCTTCTGTGATATGGGGCAGGACGGGAATGTGGGCAGAGTGAGTATAGGGGATTGTTACTAAGGAATAAAGATAAAAACAGTAGAAAGGCACTGTGCAGATAACTGTTTTCATATTAGATTTAAAAAATGTGGAGTTTGGCTTTATCAGTAACACTTCTGGCTGTTGAAGATCAGAATTTAAAAGCCCCTAACACTATGGGGGGAAGTTGCTCATTTTAGATGGGGATGGGACCAAACTCTTCGTTCTTTTTCATTTACATTTGTATTTCCAGCCTGTCTTTTTCCTATTGCATCAGTTGCATTTTCCTATTGTATTGCATTCCATTTCCTTTTGCTAATTAGTGTATTCTGTGTTCTTAATGGTTCTAGAAAGCATCTCTCTACTTTAGAACAGGTTTTAACTCAAACACTTCAGGAAGATTAATCTCCATGTGAGAAATCATATCCTCATTATTAAAAATCTCCCTTTATTTAGCTACCTTACAATTCAGGGAGTTCTTCCCTGTATCTCACTGATCATGGAACATTCTTTTGGTTTTGGAGCTACTCAAGGCTCTTCCTCTTTTCCTCCCACCTTTTACTTAAGCCTTCAAAGAGGAGTGAGACTTCAGTGATAGGTTAAATTGAAGGATATTTTATTACACAAGAATGGGACTCCTTGAGAGGAGCTCAGCATCTGGATCTTCCCAGCCAAGTTTTAAATTCACCAGTTGTGGACTGTGGACAGCTGAACTGAACTGCCTGGCACTCTGGTGACGAGGAAAGGAATCCAGGTTTCTCTTTTGGCTCTCTCTGGTTCTCCTCCTTACCTGTTACCCCAGATCACATGGAATCCTTGTCCTGTGACTGGTGAAGGCAGTGTGGGCTTGGACTGCAGTGTGTAGTGGGTTTGGGGGAATATCATACTTTAGGGGTGAAGATGCTATTTAATAAAAGCAGTGATTCTTAGGTAACAAGGGGCTGCAGTGGTCAAATTTATTTCTGGGATTTTCTTATGTTTTTCCAACATATTTGATACTGCAGATACTTATGTGTCCTATGGATCCCTTGGAGGTCTGGAAAAGCAGCACACTGGGGTTAGGAATTGTCATCCAGCATTAGGGCTACGCTCGTGGCCCAGGGCAGGGCTGCTAGAGGTGGTGGACTTTGCATCCTCTGGGGATTTTATGAAATTTAATTCATCAGGAAGAAGAGAGAATGGACATCTGTATCAGAGGGCTAAATGTTCATTTTTTTCCTCTGTGAATAAATGATTACTCGATATGTGAGAAGATCCAGGGTGACTAATTTATAGATTTGTATCACATTACAGGTATTCTTGTTTTGCTGGCAAGGTGATGAATTTGCTAGGCTACAGTGGTACTCAACTTATAATGCTAATTAGTGGACTTAATAAGGTTTAAGGGGAAATAGAAAATAATGATTTGGTTTATATAGCACAAGACCTACCTCAAGGCAGTACTTTAAAATTGACTGAGTGAATGAATGGACACATGAGAGAAATGAGGTCAGGAATTTTTAACCATGGATGGGGGTCAAATCAGAACTGCCCCTCCCACTTTCACCAATGCCCTGTCTATATCATCACCTCACCTTAGAGATTCTGACTTACCCTTTTTAAAGTGTCCTGACTTCCCTGCCCTATGCCCACCATCACTTTGAAAATCATTGCAAGGGGGTGATATCCTTCTTGGATGTTTGGGACAAAGAAAACGTTGGGAACCACTAACATGTATTTGAAAGCACCCAGCATAGTGGTTAATAAGAAATGCTAATTAGCTTTTAATCAGAAAGCTGAAGACAGACATGCAAATAATGCTAAGTATGTGGTTTAAAAATTCTTCCCAACCTTTTAATTAAGTTTTCATCAGATGCCCATATCCCCTGCCCCTATTGCTTAAAAAGGAAAATTCCTCACAGGTATTTTAACTGAGGGAGATTTGTAAATGCTCCGGCCTCAATGTACACCAGGTTTTTAGTGTTCTGGATCAGTCTGTAAAGAGAAATGGAAAAACAGGCAGCAGTTTAATAGACGTGCTTCATTTGGACTGCACAAGGCCATGGTCACCAGAGGATGCTGGCTGAAAGTGGCATCAACAAAATCAAGTGACTTTCTTGTGCTTGAGGGGTGCTCCTGAGACCCTCAGGATAGAAACTGGATGATGAGAGCCAGTTGGCTACTGCCAGGAAGTTCTGCTTTTAACCTCTTGCTGAGGTAAGTATAAGCATCATAGCTGGGAGTCTGTTCCATTCTCCCTGCTCTCCTTCCTGCCCCCCGAGTAACACCAACATCCAGGGCTCCTGGCCCGCTAGGTCCTGCCCAACCATGGAGCCAGCACACTGGGGGTGATGGGCGATTTCACTCCCAAGAGAAATGAACGAATTGGCTGTTTGCTCTTGGAGGCAAACTGGTCATCTTCGTAGTGGCTGGCAGTTACACTGACTGGTTATTCAGATGGGCACTCAGCCTTTGGAATAGCCCAGGGCTGTCGCTGGGGGCTTGCATTTGGGGATTTTTACATCCATTCTATAGATAATTGGTTGTGTGATGATGCCAGGCCTTCTAATGCCCCTGAGCTAGTGCTCCCTTCTGTAAAATTAGAAGAATAATAGCACTTTCTCTGCCTCACAGGTTGGTAGGGAGTGAGTAACATAATAGGTAGAGATAATATACAAGGCAGGGCTTGGCAAAATGTAAAAGTACAGCCACAGTACTGCAGTGGCATTATTGCCTTTCTTCCTAGTTCCCCAGTGACTTTGAAAAGCAGCTACATTTACTGAATTCTGTCTACTATGGATTCAATAAAAGGTCAGTAAATGCCTCTGTCTTTTTAAACCCAGGCAACAGCCACTGAAGGAAATGATAATTACTCTTGTTCTGTAGAGAAAATCTAGTGTGTTGGTTAGGTGGATGGACTCCGGTATCAGCTTGGTTTAACAGGCTGGTTTTACTAATTGTATGACCTTGGATGCATCACTTATAGCTTGGTTTCCTCATGGAGTGGGTTTTGAATGGAAAATATGTGTGTCTGGTTCACAGTAAGGCCTTCCAGTGTTGGCAACAGTGGGTGAAATCAGGAAGTTGAATGATTGGTCTCTAATCACAGAACTGAGAAGTAGCACAACTTGGAGGTGAACACAGTTTTTCCGACTCCAAGTCTAGTGTGTATTGCACCTTACTATAGCTTTCCACCATCGTGCCGACTTCTATCCTTTACATCTCTTTGATTCTTTAGAGGTGAGGGGCTTTTTGTTGTAATTAACTTTACAATAACTAAATCAAGCAGTCTTGGGCCATATAAGACATTAGGTGGGTAGGATGGAAAGAGCTTCTGTTTCTTAAGACTGTTTTGGAATCTGACCACTCATCCATCCATTCATTGAACAAACATTTATTGAATTACCTCCATGTGCCAGGCATTGTTCTAGGTGCCGGAGATCCAGCTATAAACAAGGCAAAGAGAGCTGTGGGGAGCTGACATTCTAGTCTCAGGGCCTTCTTTCCCTTAGAGCGCTTTATTTTTCTTTCTGTATCAATAAATTGATACTTTATCTATCTATAAATTGATACTTTATATCTATATAAAGATATCTTTATCTATTAAATAAAACTGCTTTACATCATGAGCAGTTTTATTTATCTCAAGCTGCTGTGGTTCAACATTGCTTGGGAAGTCTGTTAAAACTGCAGATATTCAGATTTCCAGGTCCAGATAGGACTGGTAATGGTAATGATGTAATGGAAATGACCTTCCCCTACCCCGCTCCCACCATGAAATTCTACTTCACAGCGAAGTCCAGACTATACCTTTTGCACTTAAATACCTGTTATTTTGGATTTCCCTCTGTTTGGTGAATTAGTCTTACTTCCCTGGTTACACTGTCTTCCCTTGGGGAACATGTAAATTTTACCTCCTCTGTATTTCAGGATCATTTGACCCTTAGTTGGACATGTGTACCCACATACTTATTAATTCATTATTCTCTTTAGATGATTGATAATTGGACCATTCATAGGGAGGCCTTGTGGTACAGTGGAAAATGCGCAAGCTTTGAAGACATGGGCTGGGGTTGAATTCCAGCCCTGGCATTGTCGAAGGTGCCACTTTTGTCAAGTTACCGACCCTTCTGAGCCTCCAATCCTTCCTGTGAACAAAAGGGATAATTACCCCACTTTGTAGGGCAGCTGCAAGAATTAAATGAACAACCTAGAGGAAATAAAGGCTGAGCACAAGTGCTCAAAATATGTTTGATGCTAATATGGAAACTCCTCTGCTGATGCAGCTTGTAGAAGTTCAGATTTGGGCCAAACTAGGCAGCAGTAAGAAGCCTGGTTTAGGAGTCGCATGACCTGATTTCTAGTCTTATTAACTCTGGCGCTAACTTGCTGTGTGACATCTGAAAACTGAATCGAGCTAGTCTTCTCCCATTCTCCCTTTTTTTGTAAATTGGAAGAAAATGATACTTTGGAAAGGATTACTATTAAGAATCAGTTCAAAAACATCACAACAACAAATCCAACATACACATGTCAAACACTTTTACATGGTTCGTTTCCAAGAACCATTTACTAAATAAATGAATATGCCCAAATAGTCCCCAGTGAACTAATTCATGATCTCTAAGCGCCTTTCTAAATATTCCACCACCTCAAGGACTCCATACCCTCCCTACCATAAGGTAAGAGCTACTTGGCAGGACTCCACAATGTCAATTTTAATTTCCAACTTTGTTGTGATGTTTCAGAGTTTATACAGCTCCCAGGGAGAAGCAGTTGTCACCATGGCAACCTGCAGGACACTGCAGTGACAGAAATTAGTGCTTGCCCAGACCTAGTAATTGCTGTAGTCTTTTCCTCTTGGATTCCTAGCTATGGATGCTTGAATACAAATACTGAGTGGGCTCCAGCCAGCGAGGGTAATAGTGTACAGCAATAAACTATCTGTTAGCTGATGCTTACATTTCAGACAAATTGAGGAGGTTGTCAAAGGCATTAGCTTCTATCTTTTCCAGGGAATCACTCTGAGAGATTTCACTAGGGGAGAGAGAGAAACAAAAAAGAAGAAGAAAAAGAAGCATGAAATAAATGACTGTTTCTGCATGATAATAAGCTGTGTGCACGACCCAACAATGGCAGGTGTCCTTTTAAGAAAGAACAGGGATGCCTTAAGTTGTCCTCACATTATAACGTGCTTCACCTCCCTCTAGGAGCACGAATGGGCACCTGCAACCCAGATGCAGTTGAAATGCAAGTTTCAGTATTTCCTATTGATGTGACAGTTTTTGTTTACTTATCTATGGACTCAGAGTTACAGATTGTTGGAAGTAGACATGCCCTTTGGGGAAAACCAACCAGATTCCCTTGTTTTATAGCTTTGGGCATTAAAACTCTGAGAGGAAAGGCAAATAGTGCTTATAAGAAGATTCGGAATCAGGATCAAGATGTCTGGGTTCCCAACTCCATCACTCTAGTGAGGTTTTAATTTGGGTTAGGATTCCTGGTTTCTTAACTCTTTTGCAGATGCTTTAACCTCTGAGCCGCCAGGGAAGCCCTTCTTAACTCTTTACTGCTACTGCTGCTGCTAAGTCACTTCAGTCGTGTCCGACTCTGTGTGACCCCGTCCCTGGGATTCTCCAGGCAAGAACACTGGAGTGGGTTGCCATTTCCTTCTCCAGTGCATAAAAATGAAAAGTGAAAGTGAAGTCGCTCAGTCATGTCTGACTCTTCTCGACCCCGTGGACTGCAGCCTACCAGGCTCCTCTGTCCATAGGATTTTCCAGGCAAGAGGACTGGAGTGGGGTGCCATTGCCTTAACTCTTTACCCCTCTCCCAAATCCTGTTCTGAGGCAGCTGCGTAGTGGTCAACTCCCTGCATGAAGTGTCCTTATTGGGTTGTGACTGTCTATTTGTATTTGACCATTTTCCTCACTTTGTTAGCAAACGAAGGACAGAGACTATATCCTAGTCACTCCTGAATCCCTAGTGGCTTCATATAGCCTGGCATTTAGGGTATCAGTGAATGAATAGATAAGTGAATGAATTGAATTTTTTTAAAGAGACACAAAGTAAAGGAACCAAGTTTGCCATATATCACCCCCAAGCATCTGGGTAATGTCAATGTTACCCTAAAATCCCCATATAAGCTACCATTTGCTTCCAGCTGAGAAAAAAGTCTCAAATTCTAAGAACATTCACTGAAGGTTTCAGACTTGATGAGCTTTTTAGCCCACAGGAAGGCTGAGCCTAAGGCAGTTAAGGTCTTTTATGAACAACACAGTAGTGGATAGTTCCTAGGCTGATTCATCTTATTCCTACCTAATGGTTTTGCTTATTTAACTGTGGCTGCTTTTCTCAGTAGGAGGTCTTAATGCATTCAAGGTTTTCAAAACTCAACATTTAAAAACCTTGAGAGCAGAAGAGTAAAGGTTAGCCTCAAGCAAACTGACATTTCTGTAACCTGCAGTGAATTTCTTATAATATGCACTAATTCTTAACAAATTATTTTTAATGTTCCTATTGCTTGCTAATACCCTAAAGAGCAGTCAGAGTTTCCCCATAAAACTAGGACTGATGATGTAGCATCTTCAGAGATGCAGATCTGCTTTTTCAAAGCCCTGAAAATTTGTAAGATGCTCTTTGGAAGCATCTAAATGGCCTCTGAGGTCCTGTGACTCAGATTGACATTAAGGAGGATGCTGGAATCCATACTCTCTTTCCATATATGTGCTTTTGTGTCCTAGAAGCTGACCTAGCAACATAGGACTGAAGTTACATCAGATACAAATAGGAGATCACATTGCATTATCAGGCTGCTTTACACTTTTGATAAATGCCTTTTATCAATATAGATACAAATACTGTGTTTGTCATACATTTATTATTTAGATACAAAGATAATCTTCTGATGCACAATAAACTTTCAACACATTTTCTTCTGTGCAGGTGTTATCTAAAAATGTGACATGAGGGAACAGTCGCTCTAGCAGAGGGAGTTTTTTATGATTGAAATCTATCTTCTTTTCTACTGGAGTAGTTTCTCATCACTTATCAAAATGCATTCAGTTTGTTGAGACAAAGTTAATTATCTGAATTTTAATGACTCTTGAAAATCATCCCTTTTCTTCAAAGGTCCCTGGGTATTATTTGTACTTTAAAGATAAAAATACTAGGGTTTCCTAAATACAGTTTCTCTCCTAGAAAAATTACCACTTTTCAACTATGTGTTCTCTGAGAAAAAAATTTTATTTCAATTATAAATGTCTTTTGATATGCAGTATCTTACTTACATTTTTATGACCTCATTAAGTCCTCTGAAAGCTTGAGATGGGATTACTTTGATAGGGAGATAGGTGAGTGATCTAGAAAAGAAAAAAGGAAAGCCAAGAGTTTAAGATTTAAGATTCGGAGCCTTTTAAGTTCATGAATGAAATGTGTGTGTATGTGTGTGACTGCAGAGTTCCCAATTGTTAGATTGAGGTTGAAAATTCTACCTTCTATCGATAAAGAAATGTGCCGCGACTAATTCTTGGTCTTTATCAAAAGGTTAGCATAGTGAACCTTGGGATCAGATGCACCCAGGGTCAAATCTCCACTCTTCTACTACCTGGCTACAGGACCCTAGGCATATTATTTAGATCCTCTATTTCAGGTCCTTTGTCTATAAAATTGAAATAATAATTCCTATTTCACAGGGTTGTTGTGAAGATTAATCAAGATAACCTGGATAAAGAATTGGGCTTGGTATCAAGTAAACAGTTAACACGTAGTTTTAGAGTGGACATATAAGCTTGTTGGGAGGATAGAAAAGAAGCTGTCTTGGGTAGAGTGGAGAAATGGGTGGTGAAAATACAATTGAAAACCGGGCAGGTAGGAGAAGGGAAGATTCACTAACAACATACTCCTACTTTGCTCTATACCATCTTCCCCAAGCAGCCTATTTTAATATTATCTCAACCAGACCACTTTGCTCCTGTGGTTAATCAAATGCCATTTTGATTTAATGCCATTAATCTCATACCATTTGAGGGAAACATCTGAAGAGACTCCTTCAGGCTCTTACTTATATCCAGAAGAACAATCTGAGTGTTCTTGAATTGAGATCAAAGTTACGCATTACAAAAAGTTGAGAAAAGAGTGACCACTCAGCCAGAGCAAAACCCGAGTAGGACAGCGTACGAGTGATAAAGGAATCTGGTTAAGATAACTCAGGAGAAAGCATCTGCAAGGCAGAGATGAAGGTTAACCTGTATTTATCAAGCACCTACACTGATTTAAGGAATTGGCCCAGGGACTGGAAGAGACGAGAGGAGTGGACCAGGACATTTCAGGAGGGAAGTGAATATTGAGAATATGGAGAAGAGGAGTGGGAGATGCTGCCTTGCTTTTCTGTCCCTGCAGCAGAGACCGGCTTACCTGCTGGGAGAGGGCACCTCCTCCATGACGAGCAGATGAGAATCAGTGAGCTGTCTTAGAGTTCCAGAAAGGACTTGCTACTGGGACTTGTAACGTGCTGTGTAAACCATGCACACCCACCTATAACCTTATTTTATTCACTTAACAATGGTGTGAGGTGGGTATTTCCCTTCAATAGCAGAGGAAACTTGATCAGAAGAAAGTAAGTAACCTGGATCAGGTAACATGACCAAGCTGACAGAGTGCAAATGTTCTTTTCACTGTGCAATACTGGGCTGAAGTATACGGCTCCTAACCCACTCCTCTCTCTTCTTATTTTTCCCACCTTTATTGAGGGATAATTGACAAATATAATTGTATATATTTAAAGGGTACAACATTGATAATTAGATATATACAAATTAGATATATACATACATTGTGGAATGGTTACGAATATCAAGATAATGAACACATCCTGTCACCTCAACACATCCTGTCACACCTCAGTTAACATTTATGTGTGAGTGTGTGTACGTGGTAAGAGTATTCAGCTCAGCTCAGTTCAGTTCAGTCCAGTCGCTCAGTCGTGTCCGACTCTTTGTGACCCCATGAATCGCAGCACGCCAGGCCTCCCTGTCCATCACCAGCTCCTGAAGTTTACTCAAACTCATGCCCATCTAGTTGGTGATGACATCCAGCCATCTCATCCTCTGTCGTCCCCTTCTCCTCCTGCCCCTAATCCCTCCCAGCATCAGGATCTTTTCCAATGAGTCAACTCTTCGCTCAGCAACTTTCAAATACACAATAGTCACCTATTCTTTTATTTATTTATTTATTTTAATTGGAGGCTAATTACTTTACAATATTGTAGTGGTTTTTGCCATACATTGACATGAGTCAGCCATGGGTGTACATATGTTCCCCATCCTGAACCCCCTCCCACCTCCCTCCCCATCCCATCCCTCTGGGTCATCCCAGGGCACCAGCCCCGAGCACCCTGTCTCATGCATCCAACCTGGACTGGTGATCTGTTTCACATGTGATAATATACATGTGTCAATGCTATTTTCTCAAATCATCCCACCCTCGCCTTCTGCCACAGAGTCCAAAAGACTGTTCTATACATCTGTGTCTCTTGAATAGCCACCTATTCTTAACTATAGCCACCTTGCTGTACATTAGATCCTCAGAACCTATTCTTCTTATAACTGAACGTTTGTACCCTTTGACTTGTATCTCTTCATTTTGCCTTGCCCCCAGTCACTGGTGACCACCATTTCTATTCTGTTTCTATCAAATTGTTTTTTTCACCCTAGATTTAAGAGAGGAATGATACCATGGAGCATTTGTCTTTCTCTAGCTTATTTCACTTAGCATAATGCTTTCCAGTTTCATCCATGTTGCTGCAAATGGCAAATTTCCTTCCTGTTATGTCTGAAAAATATTCTGTTGTATATATGTGTGTGTGTATATATATATATATATATATATACCTTACCATATAAATATACACACCATATTTTCTCTGTCCATTCATCTGTCAAATGACTTTAGGTTGTTTCTATATCTTGGCTATTATGAATAATGCTGCCATGAATATGGGGTGCAGATGTCTCTGAGAGGTAGTGATTTCATTTCCTTGGATGTGCGCCAGGTCACTCACTCTTTCTCACTGAGCATAGTGAAAGGACAGGCCCTGGAACCTCGCTTCTCTTGAGAAGAAGCATGTTACACTCTTGCTATTCCTCCTGCAAAGGAGCTTACCATTAATTCCTCTCTAGGAGCTAATGCAAAGAAATTTCATTTTGTAGAAAAACACTTTCACTCAACAATTTCTTAGAGGTGTTACAACCTAGAACAAGTAATCCAAACTTGGTCCTCTGATTTTATTCCTGAAGACAGTCCCACCAAGCTTATTCTTCAGTACCCAAACTTATTTAACAGAACATCTGAGAAGAACAGGGACAGGACAGGGAGAAATCTTCTTATGATGGCATGTTTGCTTCCTATATTTCTTCTGGAATCATGTCTGCTTGGCTTACTGATTAAAAACACAGTTTTATTGCTCTCTGCACTGCCAAGTCAATAAATTTCCAGAAGAGAAAGCTGTATTCTACTGTACCCCACGCGACATCAATAAAACTGACAGCCAAATTCTGATTCCAGAATCTTTATTGCTGGGGATAATGCAGTGCAGAACATATTTTGGAGAGTGTTTACATAAAAGCTTCAACTGAACCCTTCAGAACTGTTTATTCATGCAAATGCAGCCCAGAAGCTGAAGCCTCTTAGCAGGCAGCCTCCTCCTCCAAAAGGGAGCACGTGTGGCTCCCAGGAGAGCAGTCTGGCTCAGAGCTGACCAGGGAGGACACCTGAGTGTTTGATTGATGGAGGGATGAGGGAAAAGGAGCAAGGGTTGGACAGAAGTGAGAGAAGCTGTAGATCATCACTGGCTGCTCCTGGTGACTGTGCAACAGCCCTGGTGCAAGATGAAATTTTGTAGAGTTGATGCTGCTGCAGAGCAGGAAAGGCTAGTGATGAGAGTGAAAACAGAGTGCCTGCCATAAAAGAGACACTGAACCAACAGCAGGCAGCTTTATGGGTGTGGCTGGCCCCAGAAAAGAGCCTGGGGGTCAGAGAATGGAGAGAGCGATGGGGTGAGACAGGTGCACCAAGCTTTTCACAACAGAAGTATTGTCATGAAGTGACATGGAGAGGGTGGGTCTATGAATCCCAAACAGTTTTCCCCACTGACGCATTTTTATTTCAGTGATGTCATGTATTCCTTTCTGATTCATCTTCCAAGGGCAGCAGTTCTGAAGCATTCATGTGTCTGTCCCCTGTATTAAATGTTTGTTCATATGGTCCATGATTTGTTAATAACCATCTCAATGTCTCCCTTTTCCTGACTGATGCTTCTGTGATTCTACCCCTGAAGCCAGAAGCTCTTAGCAATGTGAACAATTGTCCCAATAACCCTGCAGTTCTACTCCTGTATACATCCCAGAGAAGTTCTCACACTGATACTTAAGGAAACCTGCACAAAGATTTTCTTCCTAGCATCAAGGGTGTGGAAGGCAACATGAGTGTCTACCACTGAGCGAGGGAATGGTGAAATGTACACACCTACCTAATGGGTCGGCAGGTAGGAGCAAGAGTGTAAAGGTAGAGCAGCATGTGTGGATCTTAGAATCATGGTGTTAAGAGAAATACCTAAGGAATTAATGATATATATGCACAATACTACTTGCAGAATTAAAATACACGCACACCAGACATTAGAAAACATATGAACATACATCAGGATGGTTGCCTGTGGTGCACCTTAGTACCTGGAACCGTGCTCCCCCTGTACTGGTACTTATTTTGGCCTTGATTCCTTATCCTGTACCCTGCCTGGTCTCCCCAAAGTTCATCCAGAAGGAGAGCCTCTGACCTTCCTTCCTGCCAGTCACCAGATCTTGAGCCCTGTATTTCTGCCTCTCAGAAGACACTGCTCACCTGGATAGGTTCCTAGGTGCTATCTGGTTCAGTTCAGTTCAGTCACTCAGTCGTGTCTGACTCTGCAACCCCATGACTGCAGCATGCCAGGCTTCCCTGTCCCTCACCAACTCCCAGAGCTTGCTCAAACTCATGTCCATCGAGTTGGTGATGCCATCCAACCATCTCATCCTCCGCTATCTGGCTAGGATCAATGTAATATCTCTCACTGCTGGCTTCTCACTTGCAGACTGGGTCCCATGGCATAGATGCTGACCCTGTGCTGGGGCCACCCAGTGTAGTTGGGTTAATTCCTCTAGTGGATGCTGTGGTAGGCTGCCAAGCTGCTACAGTCTCCTTTTAGGACTGAGGTACTCTTTGGGAAGCGATAAAGAATCCACCTGCAATGCAGGAGACGTGGAGACATGGATTCTATCCCTGGGTCAGGAAGACCCCCTGGAGAAGCAAATGGTGATCCACTCCAGTATTCTTGCCTGGAAAATCCCATGGACAGAGGAGCCTGGTGGGCTACAGTCCATGGGGTTGCAAAAGAGTTGGACACGACTGACTGACTGAGCACAGCACCCATTCCCCCAGCTATTGGGAGAGTGGGCAACTCAAGTTCTCAGCTGAGTTGCCCTCCTGGAATTCCAGTCAGCCTTAGATTGCCACTTCACTCAATAGTAGGTCTTCTTTCCTGGGTATCCTGCATCCAGTGACTGGTCATACCCATGCTTAGTTGTACCTGACTCTTTGCAACCCCATGGACTATATAGCCTGGCAGGTTTCTCTGTCCATGGGATTCTTCATGCAAGAATACTGGAGTGGGTGCCATTTTCTGCTCTTCCTGACCCAGGGATCAAACCTGCATCTCCTGTGTTTGCCGCAGAATCTACCTGCTGAGCCTTCGGGGAGGCCTGGATGCAGAGACTAAAGGTCCAGCCCTTTTGCCTTGCCTAATGTGGAACTGCTCACGAGAGCCATCCTGCTTTCAGGCTTCCTTTACATCAACTCTTTCACCGGGCCCTGACTCACTACCCTTCCTAGCCAGCCCCAGTTGTCAAGGCACCAGCTCACCTTCTGTCAGAGCCCAACAATAGACACAAATAGCATTCAGATGAACCTAATCCCCTTGAAGACGATGATGCCACATTATCAGGTCATTCTTAATTGTTCCTAATGTGTCTTTGAGGACTCAAGGGTGGGGCTTGGGCCCCCTCTCTCTTTTTTTTTCTTCTTCTAAGTTTAATAATACAAATGACCTTGGAAGAAGCCAGTTTGTCCAGCTCACTGGTTTGTTAATGAACCTTCAACATAATGTTAGCAGGAGAGTTTAAGAATCAGGAGTTTCTTTGTCCCCCTTTAAAGAAGTCCAAGATTTAGAAATCCTTGCTTATCAAAACCTGTCCATTGGGAGACATTTGCATTATTAAAGAGCTCTTTGTTCTACAGGAGGATCTGATGAAAGGTTCCTTTAAATAGCCAACTCCCTAGGTGAATAAAAATATGGTTTAACTGATGCACTCTCCTTTTAAAGATAGGTATTGCCTCAAACCAATTACAA